TTCAAATCTGAAAAATTTGGAAATGATTGGATATCCGATCAGTAACCAGCTGGGGAGATTTTTGCATTTAGAAAAGGCTGATATTTGGATGTGGCCTGGAGTAGATGAGGGCGATGACTCTGGCAAGGTATTTGACGTACTTCGGAGTATACACAGGGTTAAAGCTCTTACTCTACACTATGAGACCATCATGGTAAAGAAACCACTCTTCGCCTAACTGTTTTTACTTTTTCTTTTGTTTTTCCAAAAAAAAAAAAATGTATTAGATTTGAGTGATGACTAATTTATGCATTACTTGATTTTACTAGTAACTGCATATGTTCTTACTTGTACATTTTATTACAGATTTTACTATCTATTTACTTTACTTTGAAAAATGCAGGCTTTGTTCAAGGACGGTTCCATTTCAGTACCACCATTTGATGATGCTTCCTATTTGTGTATCAATATCGGAGGCTTGTTTGATGACTTGGTGTTGGCATTGGTCTCTTCTTAGGAGAATGCCGAATTTGAGCACCTTGTACATGAATTCTCCTTGGCATTGCGATTTCCACCGAAAAATTGAAGTAAATGGTTGTGCTTGGAAATTATTGGCCTCTTGATATATATGTGTTTGAAGTTTGTACTTGATCAACTTTGTTTTCTTCTCTTGTTTCGTTGTCAGTGTTCAGGTTATAATATGAAGTACTGGAAGTCACAAAACCTTCCTTTCATTCCTCTTCTTAATGAGGTAACTGTAGAGCTTTCCCGAAAATCCTATGGGTCTAACCCCGTTAACTTTTGAAGGTTCATCCTCGAGCATGCTCCAAATTTGAAGAAAATGGTCATTATTCATTCACCCCAGTTCGCGAAGTCCTCTCTCGACAAGTTGATGAAAAGCAAGGAGATTTCCAATGCTGAAGTTGTCTTTCGCATAAAGTAGTTGGGAAAAGAAAGGACATGAAAAAGAAGAGAAGCTATTTTATTCTGCAGAAGAAGGTGTTTATGTGTCAAAACTCTCAGTTGCAGTGTGCACTTTATGTCCATGTATATATTTTTGTGGAACTAATTTTGTGTGTTTAGTCTATATCAATTGAGCATGTCAATTCTGTTATATGAGCCATGAATGGTGATCCACTCTTATCAGAGATCATTGGTGAAATCTTAATGGATAGAATGTTGAATTTCTACTTATGATTCCTAGGTTGACCGAATGCCAGTAAACTAAACTTTAGATGTTTTTTTCCTTCCGGTCACCCACATCTAATCATAGTTGTACTCCGTCACTTTCTCTCTCCCACTTCCTTCTTTTTTTAATCTTTTTCAATTTTGTTTATTTTTTAAATTATTATATATTTAGACACACTATGTGTGACTTATCAAGTATAGGCAGTACCAGTTGAAGAACAAGAGCAACACGGATTGAGCTACTCCTATCCACCACCAACCTTATGCGTGCGACTTTTATCTAGCACTTTGTAACGGAAGATAAAAAATGGCAAACAGAATAGGAAGGCAACAACGAAGAGATACAAATTACAGCAGAAAATAGAGAAGCCCAAGCTCAACTTTTTTGTAGTATTGATTTTCCAGAGGGAAGATCCCTCACTCTCAGCAAAAAAATAATAAAAGGGTTGATTCTACCAATTTCCTTTCAGCTTTGTCAGGCAAATATCCCTCACTCTCTGTAATTTATTAAGTGACACTGAATTTTGAATCTGGTTGCCCATTCCCAAATCAACAAAATTAGGGTTCTCCAATCTCTGCCGTGTTTCAATTGTATGTGTTCAATTTACTAGGAGTCTTTGTAGTAGCTTGATGCAAAAATCTGTAGGTAAAGAAATACACATTTTTAGAGTTGCTGCTGATGATTTTTTGTTTTGTTTTTGTTTTTAGTAAGAAAGTCCTAGATTCTGATGCCTTAAACAATTTCCTATTGGAACGAAGCTCACCATTACATGTTTCTTGTTCCGAGTATCGATTTCTCTCTCGAAATTACTGAATTATGTTTTGATGGATTGTTCTGTTTTGATGAGGAAGTGGGATAGCTTAATGGCCACTGCAAGTCGTGAAGAAGTTCAAGGAGTTAGTCCAGAGTGTAGGGTTTCCAGAAGGAATTGCTCATAACATCCTTTCGTTGCTCACATTTAGAGACCTCGCTCGCTTTGGGAGCTTATCCAAACGCTGCACGGAACTCTATTTGTCAACTCCAAAATTGAAGTTAAAATGGATTAAAGTTGATGTATCTACGTGCGATAAGTGGTCAAGTTTTTCAGATTCTGTGGATAGATTCATGAACCTTCGTGGGGATAACAACATGCATCAATTACGTATTAGATCGCAGGTTCCTGATCACCGTTCTGAACCCCTATGCATTTGTGATGGCAAGGAATTTCGATTCATCCCGTGGATTGAAAATGCTGTAAGGTGCAATGTTGAACTACTTGATCTTAATATCACTCGAGCTAATCGGAACACTCCATTCGAATGTCCATCTTGCATCTTTTCTTGTGAATCTTTGAGGACTTTGTCGGTGCGCATGATTAATGCAACTATCAAAACACCCTCCTTAGCTTGTTTGTCTAATCTAGAGTTCGTGAAACCGGAACGTGTAGCTATAGACGATGGGTTCTTAAAGTGGATCTCATCGTCCTGCAAGTGCATCAAAGAATTGAAACTTTATCATGTTTGTGGGGTAGGCGATATCACCATTGAAAGCACATCTTTGAGATCTTTTAGTTTTTTTACTTCTGGTAATAGACTTCGTCAACTCAAAATCTGTGGTAGGAAACTTGAAGATATCTTCATAGGCTGGGCTGTTAGTTCAAAGTTCAAACTATTGCACGTCATTAAATATCTTTGCTCCAAATCTTAAACATTTTTCCTGGAGTGAGGAAACAATCAACAACCAGCTGGGGAGTTTATCGCATTTAGAAATGGCTGAGATTATTCTGAGACCTGCAACATATGGATTTGGTTATTCTGGCAAGATATCGCGCATACTTCACAGTATACAGTGTTAAAGCTCTTGCTCTTGCCGAACATACAATAATGGTAAAAGTGACTACTCATCTTGTAATTGTTTTTATCTTTCTATTTTTATGCATAGAAACAAAACCTAGATAGTTTGCAGTTTTATATATATTCATATGATCGTTCCTGGCATTTTATGTATTTTTTCCTTGTAAACCGCAGGCTTTGTTCGAGGAATTTCCACGTCAATACCAACGTTAGATGGTGTTTTCTATTTGGTTATCAAAATTGGAAGCCTTTCTGATAAATTAGTGTTGGCATTGGTCTCTCTTTTTAGGGGAATATGCCTAATTTGAATACTTTGCACATGAGTTATTGTGATTGGTACATGGAGTCTTCTGAAGCAGACTGAGTGATCCACAATCAAGATCTTTGCAGCATATAAACGTAAAACATGTATTCAAAAGTTCCGGACACTTCAAAAAGCTATTGTTCCTTTGTTTCTTCTAGACCATCCAATAGTATGAATATATTTCCAAACTTTATGAAGAACAAACCGAACTAAAATATAGCAATAAATTGACTAATCCAAATGAAAGAAAAACTCGATAAATCAAAGTATGACAACCCAAAATAATTAAGAGTCATACCTGATTAGTTGCATTGCACCAACAACAGCAGTCTGCTTAAAATAAAACAAAATGACATCACAGGCCATAAGAAGATTGAAGCCAATTCAGGGCTTGTTGGTAATTCTCTTATAAGTGTGTGCTTGAACTTTGCTGTTGATAATTCTCTTAGGTGGAGTGGTATAACTTGTCAGGATGACTGTTTCGACAAAGCTCCGCGGAGTGGAAGACAGAGCAAACCTACATCTGACACGCCCCGATCTCGATGTCCGAAGGACAATGGGATGGGCACATGCTGACCAACACCCAAGGGTTACGCAAGCCATTTAATGAATGCATATACCGAGAACATGAGAAAACATGCATATAAATTTCACTCGAACTACATAATATAATAGTATTCAGCTGTCAATAAAATGATAGTGATAATGCATGATGACACGCCCCGACCCCGATATTCCCCGAATACCAGGATAGGCACGTGCTGGCCGACACCCGAGGGTGACGAAAGCCATTTATTGAGTGCAAATGCTGAAAACAAGGGATAAATAAGGTTTATAAATATAAAAGAATAATGAATATGCAAATAAGGACCGTGTTCAGAGCACACCACTAATCTAGAACACTAAAAGAAAATAATATAAAATTGAATGAAACCAAGGAGTGGGTCCTACACCAAGAGGACTCGAAGATGCCGATGCGGAAGTGCCTGGACGTCGGGATTGTATGCCTCGATTCTAAGTCCTGAAGGGGGCGCAAAACAAACATGAGTGGACCAAGTTGATATATATAATATAATAAAACAGTTATCAACATACTAACCCCCAGGTTTTCTGAAAACACTTATATATAATGATAAACATAGGTTTTCCGAAACCTAGCATGTCGTGCAATGTCTCAAATCATAATTCGCATAAATAATAAACACTAGTGAATGTCCGATATAACACTTCAGGCCCTATGCCGGCTCCCCGTCTCTGAGCACACAGTCAAAGGAAAATACACTTCAGGCCCCTTGCCGGCTCCCCGTCTCTGAGCAGACAGTCAGAGGAAAACACACTCCAGGCCCTATGCCAACACCAAACCGTCGCCCGGGACGGACCGGATCTATCCCTACGTCCCGTAGCGGAAAGGACCACTATGTAAGTACAAAATCAGTGAACATACATATATTGAAAATCAACTTCATAGTATAAAGTCATCCATCATCTATACTATAAAGAGGTGTTCTAAACATGTTCTAAATATCATATCGTCATCCATCAGATATTCTATAAGAACATGGGTTATAGGAAAAATAGTAATAATTCAAACTAGCCTCAGTAAGCATGTTATCTCGTAAAACGTTTCATAAAACATAATCATCAAATCATGCTTTTCCATGTATGCATTTCTACTATCAAACATGCATTTTTAGAAGGGGTCCACTCACAGTACTTTGCCGTCAAAAAGCCACGCCATCTAGCGAAGAAGGAAACGCCGCAGATAATCGCCCCTAAGCACATAAACGGTACATTTAGTCAAACTCTACTCAAACGGTTGAATTTGGGAAAACGGACATCGGAAACGGGTTCAGGACGTCGAAATTAGCCTAGGAGGGGTCCCGCACGAAAACCCAAAAAGTCAACCCCCGAGGTCAAAGTCAACGTTGACCGTTGACCGGTCAAAGTCAACGCTGACCGTTGACCGGGTCAACGGTCAACATGTCACGGGTCAACGGTCACGGGTCAGGGTCATGGGTTTTGGGTTATGGTTTTGGGCTAGGGTAATTGGGTTTGGGTTAGATTTTTAGGTGGGTTGGGTTGGGTAAAAACAGAAAATGGGTTTTGGGTTTTGGGTTTTGGGCTAACAGGCCCGAAGGCCTTAAATAAGAAAAAGGGAAATGGGTTTTGGGCTGCAACCAAGGCCCTAAGGCCTTTTGGGTTTTTAAAAGAAATAAACTAAAAATAAAAACTGAAAGGGTTGGGCTTTTGGGCTAAAACCCGAAATGGCCTAAGGCCCGTGGGGAAAAAGAATGGCCCGAAGGCCTGGGTGCCCGGAGAAGAACACCGGAGCTTCCATAGCTCCGGCCGACGCCAAAACTACAACCTAGACCCCGATCTAGGTACCAAAATGAAGCACTAGCCGAAAGGAGTAGCTTTATACCTTGGGTTCGCCGTGAAACGGCTTATGGTGGCCGGAAATACCTTCGAACCTCACCCAACTCGCCGGAAATTTTGGGTGTGCACTCACCCGTGCCAAAAACCCTCCAAAACCTTGGAAATCAAGAACCCAAGTTCAAAAACCACATCTAACCAACATCTAACAAGACTAAAAAGGGAGAAACCATGCTTACCCAACCGGAAAAACAACCAAAACTCGCCGGAGGTGCTCGGCGTACTCCGGCACCGCGAGCAGGGGAGAGAGAAAGAGAGAGAGAGAAGCAGTTCAATGGCGATGATGGTGATGATTTCCTCGAGTAGGTGTAGCTGTGGGTCTGTGTGTGTGTGTGGTTGTCACGGGTAGAAGAAGAAGAAGAAGAGGAATGAGAGTTTTCGAAAAGAAAGGAAAAAGGTGCAGACAACAAAAGAAAAGAAGGAAAAGAAGAAAAAAGAAAAAGAAGAAAGAAGAAAGGAGGGACACGGCAGGGGGGACAAAACAGGGGGTGGGCCCATTGGGCTCACCAATTAAGGCTCAAAAACAATTTTAAAAAGGAAGGTATCCCCCAAATTTTGTGAAAAAAATACAAAAATACCCATTTTCTTTCGTAAATCCCGGGACGGGTTGTTACACATGACATGTTCAGAGCATATATCTAATTCAAAATACAAGCGGAAGGTGCTATTACAAGTTGAGTCAAAGTAGAGGGGATGACGCGGTATCATTGGTAGGGGAATGCCTCGTAGCTCGGATTGTATGCCTCGTTCCTATGTCCTGAGGGGGCGCAAAACAAACATGAGTGGACCAAGTTGATATATATATATATATAATACTAAAACAGTTGTTCATCAACATACTAACCCCCAAAGTTTTATGAAAACTCAATAATATAATATGTAATAGGCTTTCCGAAAACCCTAGCATGCCATCAAACCTTTTATAAAACATATATCATATAGTGTGCTAAATAGTGGTGTCTTATGTAAATATCTTCCAGCAGAACCCATCTACCAACGCCTAGCCGAAGCCAATATAAATATCTTCCTGTTGTAGCCATCTACCAACGCCCCTTCGCAACTATATATAAATATCTTCGCAACTATATATAAGTATCTCCTGGCCGAAGCCATCTACCAACACCCAGCCGAAGCCAATATAAGTATCATCACCTGTAGGCAGAACAGTAACCAATAGAAAAGCACAAAAATCATTGAACATAATATTTCCAACATAATATATATATATATATATCTCATTGAAGTTCAATAGCTTAAACATCATATGTCAAAACATCTTCATAGTATATAGTCATCCATCATATATACTACAAAGAACATGAAAATCGATAAAGTATGGTATTCCAAAATATTCTCAGTAAAGCATAATAATCATAAAGCGTAAATCCAATTTACTCATAAACGTTTCATAAAACGTAACCATTAAATCATGCGTTTCATGTATGCATTTCTAATAGTAAAATATGCATTTTAGAAAGTGTCCACTCATAGATACTCCGTTGTTGTAGAGCTGTGCGAAATAGGAAGGACGAAATCGCCACTAATAATCGCACATAAGCACATAAAGGGTCCCGAGTAAAATGATTGAATTTACGAAAACGGACATCAAAAACAGATTCAGGCCATCGAATTACGCTAAAAAGGGTCCCGAGTAAATTTTGAAAAAGTCAACAAAAGTTAACACAAGAATATTTCAGAGAATATTCCAACCTGGTCGGGTCAAACAAATCTCGGTTGGGCACCTGGTTAACGGGCTTAGGGTTTGGGTCAGACTGTTTCAATAGGCTGGGCCGGGGCTTAAAAGGTTTTGGGCTTAAGGCTACTAGGCTGGAGGCCTAAGTTCGTACGGCCCAAGGGCCTGGGTCCAAAAGGTTTATGGGGTGGATGGGTTTGAAAATTGGTCTGGGCCTAAAGGCTTGGCCCAAAGATTTGGGTTGGGCTGCAAGGTTTTGGGCTGGGTTCAAAGGATATGGGTTAGGTTGACCCATTTTCAGGCCAATGAATTGGCCAGTTTCTGGGCACCACTTCAAACACCTATTACTTCTCCATTACTCCGAGCTATTTTATGCGATTCACACATAAACACAACTTAAAACAAGCTTTGATCTAACCCTAAAACATATCCCAAGAGTTTCTATAAGCTTACCAACGTCAGAAAATTACAAAAAACGTCGGGGATGAACAGTGACACCATCACTATGGGGTTCCACGGCATGGGGTGTGGTGTTCTTAAGACCTCTACGTCCAGTGATGAGGTCTGGGGTTGTTGTTGTTGCTTGTGTGAGTAAAACTCAGACGATAGAGGGAAGGTTGACAGAAAGAGTGCACGGGGAGGGTGGAGGAAAAGAGAGGAAGTGAGAAGTGAGGGAGAGAAAGAAGGTTATAAAATAATAAAGAGGGATAAGAAAATCCCAAGAAGGGAAAGGGGGATCTGAGTAAGGAGGGGGATAAAGGGACAAAAATCCCATGTGGGTCCCACGGTTCGTAAATTAATAATGTAAAGGACGAAACACAAAAATATTTGACAAAAAGTACAATAATTTGGGACGGGATTTCACAACATCTAATTAGACAAATAATACAATAAAAAGTTAGTTCAAGCACACATTCTTATAAATAAAGTAGCAAAAGCGATAGTGAAAAGAAGGCAAGGATAGGGAAAAAGAGACCTAGAGACTACCGTAGTATTAAATTGGCCACGCTACCCTTCGCAAAGGATTAGGATTCTCTCCCCTCCTTTTTCCATCCCCTTCTTTCTCACATTCTCTATTTTGTTTTTCCTCTTTCTATAAAAAATTAATATAAGATGTTAACGTAGCTTAATCGTGACCGTTCAAATATGAGGGGAGGGAAGGGGAGGAAAAAAAGAGGGGAGATAATCCAATTCCCTTTGCAGAGGTCTCCTCAGAATCCATGAAGCTTGGTATATAGCATAAATTAAAGAGAATTCATGGGTTTTTCTGCAAAAGGTCCGGCCACCGAAACCATTTATTTGGTGATCGGAATACCCCAATCCCCAAGAGCACTGAATAGAAGGAAGAAGAGGAAAAGAAAAAAAAAACTGAAGTAAGTGGAGCGGTTGTATTAAGGAAAACGTGGGAGCGGTTATGTGTGTAAACTGTAGAGAGACAAAGAGGGAGAAGAAGGGGTCGTGGGTTTTTATCTTGAGAAAAGTATTCCTGCTATTTTGTTTCCATTATTTTCTTTTTAATTCTCTTTTTGTTTAACATATTTTTCTTTTTTATTTTTGACAAAAGTATCCCTGCTATTTTGTTTCCATTATTTTCAACTAGTTGTGGATTTTTTTTGTTTGAGGGGCCTTATAATCCAATTATTTTTGATGAAGTTTTGAGACACCAAACTCTCTTTTTGGCTTTCTAATATTAAAGATTCGTTTATATATGGCTGTTTTAATGAAATTGTCCTTGATTAAAAAAACTATTTTTTGAAGTAAGTAGAGCGGTTGTGTTGAAGAAAACGTGGGAGTAGTTGTGTGTGTAGAGACATAGAGGGAGAAGAAAGGGGTTGTGGGTTTTTATCTTCTCTTTCTTTTTCTTTTGTGAAGTTTTCAAACAACAAAATCTCCTTCTAATTTCTAATATTAAAGATTAAAGATTAGCAGTATTCATTTCGTAAATTAAAGATTCTAATTTAATTATAAAATTAGGAGCCCGAAAGATAGAAGAGGAAAAGGGCGCGAGCGAGTCTAGGGATTTGACAATTTCCATTGGAGATGCTCTGAAGTAAGCTTTGCATTCGCCCGATTCTAACAGTTTTTCCAGCTTCCAGAGGTAAGTAAATCTCTCTCAAGAGTTTATTCACAGACCTTGAAATCTGACACGACATTCCCAAACTTGCAAAATTAGGGTTCCTCCCTTCTCTCGTTTCTCTATATATATGTATAGATATATGTGAAAACATATGATTCTCCGAGTTACTTGTGGTTATTATAGCTAATGAAAACATATGATGATTGGTTATGACTTGAGCGATTTCCGATTGGAGCTGAGCTTGCCGTAACAGGTTTTGAGTTGCAGTTTCAATTCTGTCTCGTAACTCTTCAATTATGTTTTGATGGGTTATCTTGCAACTAGGGCGCAGAATGAGTAAGCGGGCGGCTGCTGCAGGTTGTGACTTGTGAGGGTCTAGGAGTTTATATGGAGTGTACGGCTGACAGGCTTAGTAATCTTCCAGAAGGAGTTGCTCACAACATCCTTTCCTTAGTCACATTTAGAGACCTCACTCGCTTTGGCAGTTTATCGAAACGCTGCAGGGAGCTCTATCTGTCAACCCCGGGATTGAATTTTAGCTTGTGGCAATTTGATGTATCCACGTGTGATGAGTGGTCAAGGTTTTCAGATTCTGTTGATAGGTTCTTCACCCTACGTGGGGATAGCAACATACATCACTTGCGTATTGGTATGCGGGTTCGTGATCACCGTTGTGAAACCCCTTGCGTTTGTGCTGCCAAGGAATGTCGAATCATCCCATGGATCAAGAATGTTGTAAGGTGCAAGGTGGAACTGCTTGATCTTCATATGATTCTACCTGACTTGAAGACGCCATTTGAATTTCCATCTTGCATCTTTCTTTGTGGATCTTTGAGGACTTTGTTGGTGCGCATACTTCATGGAACTATCAAGGCGCCATCCTTAGCTTGTTTGTCTAATCTCGAATGCTTGAATTTGAAATATGTAACTTTAGGTCAGGATTTCTTCAATTGGATCTCATCATCCTGCAAGTGCATTAAAGAATTAAATCTCGATCGTGTTTGTGGGGAAAGAGATATCACCATTGAAAGCACATCTTTGAAATCTTTTAGTATTGTGACTAGTGAGGATAGACTTCATCAACTCAAAATCAGTGGTGAGAAACTTGAAGATATACACATAGAGTGGAGTTCAAAGTGGTGCTGGTCATTAAGTATCTTTGCTTCAAATCTTAAGTATTTGGAATGGCCTGGGAACATGGTCGTCAACGACCAGCTGGGGATATTAGAAAGGGCTGAGGTTTCTTTTGCCCCTCAAGCATATGAAGCGGAGGGGAAGGCATTTGACTTACTTTGCAGCATACAACGGGTTAAAGCTCTAACGCTAGATCAAAATACCATCATGGTAAAATAATTACGCTTCAGGCTAATTGTTATCTGCAACAGAATTGAGAGTGATGGTTTTTTACTTGATTTTGGTAATAATACAACATTTTATTTCTTTTTGTTGTTTAATTTTTATTTTTGCAATTAACTGCAGGCTTTGTTCAAGGAAGGTCATGTGTCAGTACCACCATTAGATGATGTTTCTGATTTCCGTATCAACATTGGGAGCTTTAGTGATAAACTAGTGTTGCCATTGGTTTCTCTTCTTAGGGTAATGCCTAATTTGAGTATTTTGTACCTGGCGTCTTCTCCGTCATGCTTTTCATACCGTAAAAATGATGTAAGTAATAGATTCTGTTTGACAATTATTATGAATTTCTTGGTATGTTTTAGGAACCTTGCAATTGATCTACTTGCTGCCTTGTCTCCTTTTCAGTGTTCAGGTTTTAATACGAAGTACTGGAAGTCACAAAACCTTCCTTTTGTTTCTCAGCTTAAAGAGGTAACTGTAGAGCTTTCCCAATTTTCCTATGGTTCTAACCCAGTTGAGTTTACAAGGTTTATCCTTGAGCATGCTCGCAACTTGAAGAAAATGGTCATAGTTCATCCACCCCGCTTTGCAAAGGCATCTCTCAACAAGTTGAGAAAAAGCGAGAAGACTTCCAATGCTCACGTTGTCTTCTGCAGAAACAAGTACTAAGAAGAAAGTAAACAGGAAAAAGAAGGGAAATTGTTATGTTTTGCATAAGAATCTGTTTATATCAAACACTTTAAATCGAAGCGTGCGTTATGTCACATTTCGGGTATTAGTATATTTTCATTCTTCAATTGAGAGCCAAATAAATGTTTTCCATTGAATTTACTGTATAAGAAAATTGAAGGACGAAGGAAATAAAACCATTCCAGATTCTATCTGGATTCTCTGTTTCCTATTTCCTACCCTAGCTAGAAGATTAGGGTTTCATTACTTGCCTTTTTGGGCTTTGCATCCTTGTGCGTCAAGGAATCCTAAACTTCAACTTATACTCAAATTCACTCTATAAATATATATGTGTATGAGATCAATCGATCTTCCTGGCCTTATTGTGCTACTTTTGGTATTGTGGTCGTCCTCGGAATCATCTCTCGGTGAGCGGAGAAGCACGTCGGAGATCTTCAAGGAGTGGACGACAAACCAGGGACGAGTTTACAAGGATGCACAAGAGAAGGAGATGCACTTCAAGATTATCAAGGCTAAAGGGAGAAGAATTTATACTACCTAGGCCTCAATGGCCTTTTGGATTTAACTGATGGAGAATTTAATCCCCAACCCGTGGTTGTTTTCGGAAGCCATGGAACAATGGAACCGTGTATAATGATTCTATTAGGATGTGATTACCTCCTTGATTGCTTGTAACTAGGCTATATTTGATTAGTGTCACATGAAATCCCCTTGTATCGCCGAGGTTTTCAAAAAAAAAAATGCTATACTACAATTTTATAGTTTTGCATGTACTCTTGTTTGAGAATAATATAGTACTCAGATCTCTTTGCTTATTTTTTTTTTGTTAATTTTTACTCCAACTTAAAAATTATGTATTGGTATTATGGTCTAGTTGTTATAGCGAAGAAATTCATATCAGATTTCTTTGCTTATGGAGAGCCCGTTCAAATGCGTACATACAAGGGTAATTATTTGTGTGCAGCTTAGCCAAACAATCAATTTTAAAAAATACGCGTCAAGTTGGAGAATAACTTGTATAATAAGTTACACCAAGTTGGAGAATGATTTGTATAATACAATTACACGAACGAGATTTGGCTGCTGATTCTTTCAACAGTCAAGTTATATTCCAATTACACTGTCATATTGACGTTATATACCAATAATACAAAAACATGTATTAGTTCCTCTTTGTATATTTTTGAATTATTGACCCGAGATGTCAATGTGACCGTATATCCACGTCGTACAAATTGCTCTGGTCAAATAAACTGGATCATATTTGTCTCTGGATTTGACCCACAATAAGTGCTCGGGTTGCCTCTTTGGATTTGACCCACAATATACTCGCGGACTTAACAGAATCAACCGATCAACCGAACTAGACAGAGTCGGTGTTAGAGAGCTTCAAATTCCAAATTCCTAATTGCGATCGGAAACCCCCTTTTCTCAGCAAAAAGATGGAGAAGAGCCAACCGCCGCCGCAGCAGCAGCAGCCCATGTCAGTGAAAGAAACAGTGTACAAGCTCCAACTCGCTCTCCTCGACGGCGTCAAAACCCTTGACCAACTCTACTTGGCCGGCTCAATAATCTCCCGCTCCGATTACGGCGACGTCGTCACGGAGCGCACCATAGCCGACCACTGCGGTTACCCTCTATGCCCCCATGCCTTGCCTCCGGAATCCTCCCGCCCCCGCAAGGGCCACTATCGCATTTCACTCAAGGAGCACAAGGTCTACGACCTTCATGAGACCTACATGTACTGCTCCTCGAGCTGTCTTATCGAAAGCAAGGCTTTTGCCCAGAGTTTGAGCGAGGAGAGGTGCGATGTCTTGGATTATGGCAAGGTTGAGAAGGTCTTGAGGGCTTTTGGGGATGTGGGTTGGGACAAAGGGGAAGTGGGATTGGGGGAGACTGGGGATTTGGGAATTTCGAAGTTGAAGATCGAAGAAAAGAGCGAAGCGGAGATTGGGGATTTGGGGATTTCTAAGTTGAAGATTGAAGAAAAGAGTGAAGTGCAGTTAGGGGATGTGGGCGTGGTTGGTCCCTCTAATGCTATTGAGGGCTATGTTCCACACAATCAGCGGATATCCAAGCCATTGGGTTCGAAAAAGAACAAAAAAGGTATCTGCTTTTTTGTTTTTTGTTTATGAATCTGTTATTGCCGCAACTGTATTATATTTAAGTCGAGGAGTCTATCTGATGCCTGCTCAGGTTTCTAGGATTGTTTTGTTTTGTTTTTTGTTGGTTGTTACTGTGTTCTGTTAGTGTTCTCTTAAGTGAGGATTGTATATTGTAGGGTCCAAGGGTAAAGAAGCGAAAACGAGTGGCGGGAAAGATATGATCTTTAATGAGATGGATTTCATGAGTTGTATAATCGCTAGTGATGAATACAGTGTGTCCAAAATTCCACCAAGTTCTGGGGAGAATGGTTGTGAAACTAAGTTTAAGGAATCAGAAGAAAAAGTTGCTCATATTAAGAATGATTCTGAAAAGAAATCCAAACAATCAAGAGGGGGAAAAAGTAAGATTTCCAAGGAAGATGATCTTGGCATTCGAGAGGCGCCTTCAACTTCAGAGACTTCTCAAACTATTTTGATTAGAAGTACTAAAGAAGCAAGAGAGGAATTCCCTGGTGATGAGGAGAAATCAAATGTGCCAAAGCTAAGATCCTCTCTTAAACCTTCAGGGGCAAAAAAACTTAATCGCTCTGTTACTTGGGCTGACGAGAAGGTGGAACATAGAATGAATGGTTATGATACATTGGGCAGTATGCACAAACCTTTGCTTAAACCTTCAGCGGAAAATGAAGTCGGTTGCTCTGTTACCTGGTCTGATGAGAAGATTGATAGCACTAAGAGTAAAAATGTTTGCGAGGTTAGAGAAGTGCAAGGTGCAAAAGAGGGTTCTGGTGTATTACGGAATTTGGAATTGCTAAATAATGAACGTTTGGAATCCGCAGAATTCTGTGCCATGGCATTGAGGCAGGTAGCAGAAGCTGTTGCATCTGGAGAATCTGATGTCAATGATGCTGGTATGTCATTGTTTGGTTTAAATGTATATAGTAGGTAGCATATTACATGTTGGTGGAACTTGGTTGTTTGATATTTGATGGCGTTTCTTTCCATGTGTCCTTTTCAAATGTCAGTTTCGAGTGCTGGAATTATTTTATTGCCACGTCCAGATGGTGCGGATGAAGAAGAGCCTACTGAGGATGTTGACATGCTTGAACCAGAACAAGCTCCTCTGCCGCGAAGAAATCCTGGAATTCCAAATTTTGATTTGTTTGACTCTGAGAATACTTGGTTTGATGATCCACCAGAGGGTTTCAACTTAACTGTAAGATTGTAAATTTAAGGTCATTGCATATTATTTCTCTTTGGAAGTTTTGTGCTAATGATACCTTTCATGTGTTTCAGTTATCACCTTTTTTAACAATGTGGAATTCACTCTTTACATGGATAACATCATCTACACTAGCATATATATATGGGAGGGATGAAAGCTTTCATGAAGAATTTCTCTCTATTAATGGGAAAGAGTATTCCCGTAAGATTGTTTTGGCTGGTGGCCACTCTTCTGAAATCAAGAAAACTCTGGCTGAATCTCTTGCTCGGACTCTACCAGGAGTTGTTTCCCAACTTAGGCTTGCAACACCAATATCTAGTTTGGAGCAAGAAATGGTATTGATTTTGAATCTTTTGCGTGTTTTGTTTGAATTCTGATGAAAATCTGATGAATGAACCTGCATTAGTGTACCCTATAGTCAAATAATTTTTCATGCTTAACTGTTTGTTTATAATTCTAGTTACATCCTCATAACCAGATTTGAAAACTTTGTATGTGATGGTTAAGTATATGTTATAGCCCATAACAAAAACAAGACTTCAAGCCTTTTGGCTGCTTTAGGACTTTGCAGTTTCCGCATGGTGCCATTGTCAGACATTTAAACCTAAGTTTACTGCTTTATATACATTTCATATTGAACACAAGTTTTTTGGGAATACATGCAACTCTGCTCACTGTTCTACTTTTAGTTGAAGCACTTGCTTTTGTGTTTATGTATCATTAACCACGTAAAGGATTCATTTTTTGAGGATACGTTACATCCATGGGTTTTGGTCTTCCAGCAGGCATTTCCATTATCCAAGTGATTTCAGTGGAGTTTACAACTCAACCATGATATGTGATAAACCAGGACTAGGAAAAGATATCTTCACCTTTGTAGTTCATAGGAGCTACTTTCCATGTGTCGATTTTACATTTATCTTTATTTACTTGTATTAGGTTTCGAATTCCTATGCTACTTGAGTATTGTGAGCCGTGACACTTTGTATGTGTTTTGTTATGTTTGGCATGATCTTTATCTGCGCGCTTTAATCAGTATAAGAAACCCTGCAGTGCAGCTAAATATTACATTAACATTGTTAAGTTTGTGAATGTGACATGTCACTGAGGTGTTTCTGTACAGAGCTGCATGTTGGAGACGATGACTTTTGTTGACGCGCTACCAGCTTTCAGAATGAAACAATGGAAAGTGGTTGTTCTTCTTCTCCTTGAAGGTCTCTCTGTTTGCAGGATTCCTGCACTCGGTCCTCACATGCCAGATAGAAGGACACTGTTTGACAAGGCAAGGCCCAATATGTGTATCTTTATAGCTTATTAACTTATTTATTTTACGTACATGAGAACAAAAATGGAAGTAAAGAAAAAGATTCAGACAGAAATGTGTTTCACTTTTCTTATCAACTAAATCTAGGTATGCTTAGACTGTGTAGTAATTAACATACTAATATTGGTTCTCGAACTGTATATACTGTATGAGCTTTTTAAAACAAAAACGTTAATCTGTACATGTGGTTTTGGTTTTGGTTTTGGCCAAATAGGTGCTGGATGGTTCCCAGATAACTGCAGAACACTACGAGCTTATGAAGGATCATATATTACCCCTAGGCCGAGCACCCGAATTCTCAGCTCAGAGTGGTGCTTAATGGAAATGAAGGTTTGACTTCAAATTCTCTGCTCGTAGTTGTATTGATCGTAGACTTGAAAGCTGTTGCCTGCAAAAGTAGCAGTTGGGAGAACCCTGTTTTCGAAACTGATTGGAGAAAAACCATCCACCGCCGACTCTTTCAGCGCTGGAAGAACGATGTTGAAAGTCCGAAGCTTCATTGTACATGTTTTCGGAACATTTATCGGACTGAAAATGTTAAGACTTACTATTTTTCACTTCCTTTGGTAATCTATACAAATGCTTCCTGCAAAGCTACGTACCAGGATAGGATGGAGAGATGGTCTCTAGAGTTTTCGGTTTTCCTTGGTTTCGAGTTGTATTCTAATCTTATCAAAATTACGTAGATGGAGATTTGAACTCGAGTGCAGATGGGACAAGCATATTGTTCTAGTCAATTTTTCAAATCTTATGCGTTCATTTTGTGTGTGGTCTCTATCATTGGTAGACACGTGTTAACTTTGTGTTTTTTTTCATAAATTTAAGTTATATCAATCAATGATAGATGTTTGGTTACATAGAAAATGGGTGCAGAAGATTTGAACTCGGAAATTTGAATATCGATTTAGTCAACTTGACTTTGTTCATGTCAGCTCTCTAGAAAGTGTTATTGAAGTATACTATTGAAGGGGTCAGGAAAAGGAGTTGATATTATCGTAATTAAATTTGACTAAGAGGCATCAAAGTGTGTTTTTGTTTTGGACACGTGGCTGGTCTGAAGGTGGTAAAGTAAGAAGTTGTTAAGAGTCAATTCACAGGAGGATGATGGGCTTTGATCGGCCTTCTCTTTTACCGGCAAAGTATATTCGCATGTTGGACTATTAGTCTGGGCGCCTAACCTCAAAAAGACAGAAATACCCTCCTAAACATTTATTTTATCAAACGTTTTAATCTAATCATCTGATTAAGCAATTGGAATATTATCTGGGGAAAGGGATCCTCTGCGGATCCCTTCTTCCTAATCCTAAAGATTCATCAATCCGGATCATTAAAATTTGATCTAACGGTTAAAATTAGTATAACTTTTAAAGTGAGCCTCTATTTATAGTCGTTAGATCAAAATTTAAGGGTTTAGAATGGTGGATCCTTAGGATCAGAAGGAAGGAATCCGAAGAAGATCATTTTCCATTATCCGGGACTTGGACCTATTATGTCGTACTTCAGCCAAGGTCCACAATAAAGATACAAAGGGTTAAATTCCAATTATACCTTGACATTTTTTTTTGGAAATATACATGTGAGAAGTGCAAAATGAGATTTTTTAGAATGCCATTAACAGTTTTTTTTTTTTTTTTTTTTTTTTTTTTTTTTTAACAAAAGAAAGTTTACATATAACAACATAGGCGGATCTTCAGACAATTCATATCAAACTTTAACTTAGGTTGTATTTTGGAGTATCATTAGACCAAATTATTATAACGTTGTTCTAAAATAGCAAACCCATATATTGTCGTGTTTGTTTCTCTATAAGTAATTTAGAAGATGAGACTATGAGTACTGTCAAAAAAGTTCAAATTGCACGTTTGAGACCAATGTGAGCATCACTTAAGGGTAAAACGTTCGAGCGTAATTTTATGACTCAACACGCTTCAATGTGAGATATCATGTTCAACTTACTTACATGACTATTATGATAATTATTATAGCAAACTATGGTGTGATCAGGTCCAAAATTTCCATTGTCAATGTAGATAAAAAGAGGCGGTGCTACTTACATAAGGATGGGCAAAATACCCATGGGTTTGGGTAATTGCGGTTACCCACCTATTTAAAGTTCACGGTTATGGTTATGGGTAACTGTTTAGATGAACAAACGGTTATAGGTATAACCGTTTATCCGTAAAATTTAAATGGACGGTTATGAATATTACCACGATTATAACGGGTATCCATCAATTATGGATATTATCCGTGGTTATAACGGACATTCATTTACCCATTTAATTTAATATAAGTAAAATTTTAAAAAATAAAAATAAAAACCTTAAATTTTCAATCTCTCCGTCAGAGTCTGAAATGCCATGTCACCGCTCATCTCTCCTTCGTCCTTGCCCTTTCTCTCATATACGCTACTCATCTCTCTCTCTCTCTCAAGATTCTTACCATGAAAAGTGTCTCTGTACGTCACCCTCCTCTCTCTCGATTTCTCTTTGATTTCAGTTTTCATATTTTCTTGCATTTTCTCATAAACCAAACAGGGCATCAAATTTAATTTTTCTTTTTAACTCTTATTCGATTCTGGATTTTAATTGCTCATTATTTCACGTTTCATGAATTGAGTTTCATTAATTTTTGTGCTTTAGCAATTGATGAAGCTTGAATTTCTATATAACTTATTACGTGTCAAAGAATAATCATACTCTTTTTTTTTTTTTTTTGTCAATTGAGAAAAAAGGGTCTTGATACGATTTTTAGATGTTCAATTTATGCTGGGCAGCCCTCTAACTTTGTATTTTATAGGATTTAGTGTTATGTTTTCTATGGTTGATGAGCTAAATTGTCTAAAAAATGGGTCTTCGTTAATGTTGTATATGTTGTGAAACAAAATGCAGTGTGCGACTGTGATGTTTAGTCGTTTATCGAGCCTTCAAAATCTCCGAATTTTATAATTTTCAAGTTGTTAAAAAAAAAAAAAAGTAAACGGATGAAAAAATGGTAAATGAGTAAAAAAATAATAAATGGGTTCAAAAATGGGTAAACATAAATAGTTATGGTTAAATGGGTAAACGGTTATGGTTAAATGGGTACACGGTGATGGATATAGTTAACCATTTATAAACGGTTATGGGTATGGGTATAACTGTTTATTCAATTACCCAACGGGTAAACGATTATACGGGTATGAACATAAACGGTTATGGGTAAGTAACCGCGGTTATCCATCCGCCATAACCGTTGCCCATTCCTATACTTACACATTTTTTTTTATTATTCACACATTCTCTTCATATCGAATGAATTGAAGTATATTAAATCATAAAAATTAACAAAAAATGTGTGAGAATAAAAATAAACGAGCGGAAATCACCATTCTAACATTATTTTTGGGGAAACTAACATGTGAAAGTGTGGGTGTACTTATGGAAAAAGTTACCAAATATCAATATCTTTCACAATTTGGTGGTTCCCTTCCCTTCCGTTCTGAAACTCCGCATATGGAGATAAGGAAAAAAAAAAAAACACAATTAAAAAGCAAGTTTGAATGGTCAAAAGAAAAGGCCACTGGCTTCTCATTTGTCATGAGAGTTTTCATTATTTATTTATTTTTTAAAATAAACTTGTTTTTCGTTTGGAATTTTAGATCATCCATAAAAATATGTTAAATTTTAAACATAAAATTTAAATTTTGATAGCTTATGTAGTATTTTGATATATTTTAAAATTTTATTCTTCAATTGATATGTCAAATTAAATTATTATTTTATAAAATAAATTATTAAACTAATTAAAATTTAATAAAAGACATTTAAAATTTAATCAGTAATCTGTTCGTTTTCCTTGATTGAAAAGAAAAAAAAAAGTACAGTAGTTGCATCGGTTAACTCAACATTGATTATAATAAAAGCTTAAACTAATTAAAAATTAATAAAATACATTTAATAATTAATAAAAAAACATTTGAAGCCGCAGTCAAATTTGACAGTAACCTCTTTTACTGTTAATCCATATCATCGCCACATAGGATTTGGCACTTCAGTTGGGGAATATTAATGTGAATTTTTTTTTTTTTTAACTGTTATAACTCATGTGTATATTTTAGTATCTCTTTTAAATATGCTCTTAAAATAAACTTTTTTATAAATTTATAGAATTATTAATAAATAAATAAATAAATAAAAAGAAGGAGAAGAAGAAGTAGGAGCCAATAATATAAAAGGGTTCTACTACTTTAACTGTCCTGTGTTCCCAGCGCATCACAGCCACCACCACCACCACACAAAAAAAGAGCAAAAATAAACAAAACAAACAAACACTCAAATCCAAAAGAAGAAACAAACCTAGATCCTCTCTCTCTCTCATCATGGATCTACGCCTCTGATTCAACCTCACGCCCTCCGTTTTCCAGATGATCCTCCCTTGATCTTCGCCAATTTCTGCGTCGTCGGTACAATTTTCTTCCTCTGACTCTCTTCTCATTTTTTTTTTCTGATTTTTTTTTTCTTTTCTGTGATATATTTGGTGGGTTTTGTAGGTTACCATTTTTTCTTTTCTTTTCGGTGATATATTTGGTGGGTTTTGTTTTTGTCGTTTTGGATGTTTAGATCGGCTAGTTTTGGCATCTGGGATTGGCCCATTAAAAAAAAAAAATTCAAATTTTTGGTGTTTTCGGTGGTGATGGAGGGTTGGTGGGTGAGGAATAATTGTTATGATTGAATATTCAGGTAGTTGTTTGATCTTTCTTGTGTGAATTTTGGGTTTTAATTGTTGGATCTCTGTGTAAATGTTGATTTGGTTGTGGGTATATGTAGAAGGTCAAAGAGGTGCCTTTACTTGCTTCATCTAATTTGTGGGGTTCATTTATTGTTCTTTTTTGTTGTGTAATTCATAAAATTTCTGGGCTTTGGTTTACAAGTTGTTTATTCTTTTTTCATATATATATATATATATATGTATGTATGTATGTATGTATATGCTGGTAAGTATTGAGTTTGATTGTCAGTTTAAGCTCGGTTGATTGGCTACAAATTCCCTGTGCTTTATGAATCATAAAACTTTAAATAGATCTTAGCGTGGATTGTGGATGATGGGTGAAGAAAATGCTATTCAGATTGTCCATGTTGCATTTTCGTAGTCAAAAGTTTAATTATCGTTGCTTGATTGATTGATTGCAGTAGGTTGATGGTTGGTTTTATCAAAGCCAAACAATAAGAGAATAGGGAATGGCTTCAGTAGGTGTGGCGCCTACGTCAGGTGTGAGAGAACCCTGTGCCAGTGGTCATGCGGTTGGTGTGGATAAGTTACCGGAGGAGATGAATGACATGAAAATTCGGGATGACAAAGTACGTAAGCCTTTGGTTTAAGTGTTTTCTTATCAGAGTATTTTCTCCTCGCACTTTTTTGTTTTTATTTTTAGGATTATTGTACAGTTGCTATTGAATACTCATGGTCTGCTTCACTGGTGTAGGAAATGGAATCCACAGTCGCAGTCGTTGATGGTAACGGAACAGAGACGGGTCATATAATTGTGACAACTATTGGTGGTAGAAATGGCCAGCCAAAGCAGGTATAATATTTCTCATTTGCACATTAGTCTCCAGTTTATGTGGAACTGATATTTTTTTTCGTTTATTACTTCAGTGCAAATTTCCTCTAACAGAATGTTGTATATTTTGTCATAATAGACAATTAGTTACATGGCTGAGCGTGTTGTCGGGCACGGATCATTTGGAGTTGTGTTCCAAGTAAGACTCTAGTCTTTTGCCTTACAATTCACTATTGAAAATTTATGGCCCTTCAAATCGATAGCAAGTTTCAAGTTCTTGAATTCTGAGTTCTTATTTGTGCAGGCAAAGTGCTTAGAGACTGGTGAAACTGTGGCTATAAAGAAGGTTCTGCAAGACAAGAGGTACAAGAATCGTGAGCTACAGACCATGCGTCTTCTTGACCACCCAAATGTTGTTTCTTTGAAGCATTGCTTCTTTTCAACGACTGAAAAGGATGAACTTTATCTTAACTTGGTGCTTGAGTATGTCCCTGAAACGGTTCATCGTGTGATTAAACACTACAACAAGCTGAACCAACGTATGCCTCTGATATATGTTAAACTCTACACATACCAGGTAAGATGTCAATGAATGTGTGCCATTTTTACTTTTCTGTAAGTTGCATGTGCATAGGTTTAATATTGGAAAGGGAAATTTTTTTCTTTCTTTCTTAGGAAGTGGATTATTTTACGTAAATGGAGGAGTATGTTATGCCATATTTAAGAATTGAGCTGTTTGACTAAGACCTTACTCCATGAGCCCAAGGCTTAGGCTAATTGAATCTCAGAGTTGTGCATTAAAGCATTTTGTTTGTTCCCTACCCTGGGGGGTTTATTTATATTTTGCTGAGATTTGCCTCGTTTCATCCATATTTGGCAGATCTTTAGGGCGCTATCCTACATTCACCGCTGCATTGGAGTGTGTCATCGGGACATCAAGCCTCAGAATCTTCTGGTATGTAATTCGATTCTCGTATACCTACCTATATGCCTATTAATATCTGGTTAACCCTATTGTTATGGGTGGCGGTGTTTATGGAGTAAATAAACGGAAAAGGTTTAAACTTTGGTTCTTATTTTGTGTAGGTGAACCCACATACCCACCAAGTAAAGTTGTGCGACTTTGGAAGTGCTAAAGTATTGGTATGTTTTATAGTTTTGCTGTCCTTTCTCTTCCATTTATACTCATCGTAGCATTTGCTTCTGTTGGATTGAAATATATCCTTATGCTGTGTTATTGTCGAGCAGGTAAAAGGAGAGCCAAATATATCTTATATCTGCTCTAGATATTATAGAGCACCGGAACTTATATTTGGAGCAACTGAGTATACTTCGGCCATTGATGTTTGGTCTGTTGGGTGTGTTCTTGCTGAGCTATTGCTCGGACAGGTACATACTTTTACTATTATATTTTGTGAAATATATGTTTAGTGCAATTCTAATACAACGGAGTTTTCTATTGCATCAGCCTCTCTTTCCTGGTGAAAGTGGAGTTGACCAGCTTGTGGAGATTATCAAGGTAATTCATCCTTATTATCGCTTCAGCAGTAGTTAAATCTTATTTAATCTAATAATCATAGATTTCAATGAATGGGTATAAAATGATTGCTTATATTAGAGCATTGGACATGCATTACTGTTTTTACTTGGTGCTTACATAGATTCTTGAACTTAACTCTTTTATTGTGGTAGTGATTTATTTCTTGCTTTTTCTCTTGGTAGGTTTTGGGCACTCCAACAAGGGAGGAAATCAAATGCATGAATCCTAACTATACAGAGTTCAAATTCCCGCAAATTAAAGCTCACCCGTGGCACAAGGTATTATGATGGAAGATATTATGTATGTTTCTGTATTTCATTCACCAGATAGCATATTTATATTTGTTATTTCCTTAGATATTCCACAAGCGTATGCCTCCAGAAGCTGTTGATCTGGTTTCAAGACTGCTGCAATACTCTCCTAACTTGCGGTGCACAGCTGTGAGTACCAAGTGTTTAATTTTATTTTCATGTCCAAATAGTTATTTTTTTTTTCCGAAATAACTCAATAAATATATGTGCTACCAAAAGAAAATTCAGTCAAATTCCCTTTTAAAATCCCATCAATCTTTATTCTTGTTAATTTTTCAATCGTGGTTTTGGCATAAAAAAAATTTCAATCGTGTTTCCATATACAGCTGGATGCCTTGGTCCACTCCTTCTTTGATGATCTTCGTGACCCGAACACCCGCCTGCCGAATGGACGTTTCCTTCCGCCTTTATTCAACTTTAAATCACATGGTATGATATTGTTCTCAGACAATTTGCTTTTTTTCTTCCAAATTTTTTCGTTCTCCAAGCCTTTTTTCAAACTTCTTACTCTTTGATGTTGCTTGTACCATCAATTAGAATTAAAGGGGGTGCCTGCGGAAACTTTGATGAAATTGGTTCCAGAGCACGCGAGAAAGCAAGTCCCGTTCCTGGCATCCGATTAGTTTGTGAAATGTGAGTAACCGCAAGCGTGGTCCCATATTAAGCTATGTGTTCTCTTCTCCCTGGGCTGCCATTTGTGTCCCTTTTATTCAATGTACCTCATTGTATGACCATATTTTGTAAAATTAGATGTGTTCTATCGAATCTTGACATGTCCGAACCTCAAAGGGTATTTATGAGTACCACTTCCCTGTAACCCCCGAAGATTGTAGCATCGCATAGAAGACGAGCGCCAGCTTTTATCTAAATGTTTATCTGCATCTGTATTTGTAGTAGACAGACCAATGTACCGATGTTCTGTGATTTCGTATTTCCGATGTAATGGAGGGCTGTTTGTGAGGTGAGTTGATTGAAGGGCAAAGTTCCCTGTCATTGTAGTAGGAAGTAGCAAATTTGCCGTAGATTAGAAGCGGAAATGTTTGATTTCGAATTGTCTGGTTTTTTCATGTGTGAAGAATCTGTCTTGTTCCAAAGTTGCATCAGATTCTGAAAGCTAAAGCATTTTCCATTCGCATGTCTCGAAACTAAACCTTCCCAGTTGTACTGGTGGTGGTCCTGATTTCATCAAACTGATGGATGTGTTGGCAAGTGAATTTTGCAAACACTTTCTATGTCCGGCCCGCTCGTGATTGTTCCGGGTTTTTGCAGACTGAATAAATCAAATGAGAATCAAATAATATAAGTGAGAGGTTATGCATAAACAAAACAAGGTTATATGGAAATCATTTTTCATAGGTGTTACGTTAAGATGGCGTACTTGACTGCCAATATTACCATTGAAGTAAAAGACAAAATTATCTCATTTACAACACTCGCTGTGTGCAAATCACTACAAAGTTTTCTTTTTGACAATTCGATAATTTAGTTTAAACCAAATATAATATACTTTGGCGCAAGAGGGTGGGTATGACGAACGTCGGCATAAGAGGACAAACAAATTGCTCTGAATCTCTGATCTATTGACCTAAATCACAACCGCGTACAATCACCAAGTTCACTGAATTCTTCCTTTTTTTTTGACCTCTTTTTTTTTCTCAGCTTGTCTATTTCCATACATTTTTATCTTTTTTTATTTTGTACGATCATGGTTAAATCACATTAATATTTTATATTAATTTTTTTTATAGAGATAATAAGACAAAAAACAATAATGACTTAACCGTGATCGTATAAATAAGAAGAAATAAAAATGTATAAGAACTGGGAAAGCAGAGAAGCTAGGTCCCTAATTTTGCATATTGTTTCAGTGTTTTATTTTCTATTTGTGGGGTAAAACTAGCCGGAGGAACTTCAATTTTTATTTATTTGCCACCAAAAGTCCCACAAACCTATAAATACTTGGAATTTGGAAACCTCGAATTGGATAGGAAAAAATACAGGGAGAGTTAGAAACTTCAAGCTTGGAATGCCGATGGGGAAGTATTTTTGCGATTACTGCGAGAAGGAATTCCAGGACACCCCACCTTCGAGAAGACGCCATCTTCAAAGCGGCCAACACCTTCGAGCCAGAGCTCAATGGTACGCCTCCTTCAAAGGTACATAAAAATTCAACCCTTCTCTTTTGATTTTTCAGATTTTCTTTCATTTTCCCTTGTTTTCTCAGCTACCAAACACGCCCACTATCCATTTCTTTGTGTAATCACGACTCTGGTTTCCATTGATTGCAGATCCCAACCATGCTTACCCGACAAAAGGGGTCTGCAACCGCTTTGTCAATACGGTAGTTGATTTCTCTCTGTCAATTTAATCGCGTTTTCATTGATTGCCCAATTGATTTCATTGCTTATTGAATAATGGGTTGGAGGCAGATTTTTACTTTTCCTTGATTAGCTCAAGTAATTTTGCTTGTTATGGAGTAATGGGTTGGAGGCGGAGTTTGTGTTTTTATTTGTTTAGAACAACATATGTTGGTTAGACCAGTTGACAGGATAGTGTGCCCGCCCCGTTGAACTTAAGTTCAAATCAATCTCCCGCAGATTAGACTAGTTTAGAATGTCGCGTTGTCAGAAAAATTAAAATTATTCGGTTCGTGGATTTATATGTTTTCCTTGGTATGGAATTTAGGGATCTTGCCCATATGGTGATTCTTGTAAATACCTTCATCCCAAGAACAATCAGCAGGATACAGTTTTGATTGATAATAATCAGTCTTCGAGTTTTCAAGAGAATCAGTCGGTTGGAGGCAGCTCTTTGCCAGGTAACTTCAAATTGTATGTTGCTAGTTGACCGTTGGAGTCTTCGTTTTTGTTTTGCATAAACTCGACTTCAGATGTGAGATAGTTCCTGCTTCCGAAGTTAATGCTTTAGTCCTAGTGCTTACGTTTCCTCATTCTGCTTCACAGATGTGGTTGTGAGAGATCATACGGGAACGTCATGGAGCAATCTACCTCCATCCCTAATGCCTCCTCCAGAGGGTGGACATCCGCGTCTTCCTTTCGTAGACTGGGGATAAGTTTATCTTTTTAGGTAGGGATAACTTCCTAGTTCCTAATAAACTTCGTTTGAACCATTTAACATACTAGTAGTTAAGTTTCATGATGAGATATCGATTGTCATCAAGGCTTGTAGACTTGTACCTTGTGTTTTATAGTACTGACTGAAAAATGCTGCTCATATCATTACTGAAGACAATGTGTTCCATCCTCTACTGTACTATAAAGTTCATTTTTCAAGAAATGCTTGTTTCGTTTGATTCGTGTCTGTTTATGCTGGGACGGACATGCACTTTTTCTCAAGTTCTGTATCGTGTCTGACCTGTTAAAATGCATGATTGTTTCATAAGATTATAGCGTAGAGAAGTCGGGATGGTGGTTATTCATATTACAGTAATCGTGCATCCCAAAATAACGAAATTTAGACGGCATCAATCATTTGAGACTTTGAGTTCTCTCTGATGCTGCTTGTGAGAACCATCAGTGTGTATTGTAAGAGCATGAACATTTGCTAAAAATTGAAATAACTATGTAACTTTCACTTACAAAATTAAGAGTATGACAAAATGCCTGATTATTTTCAGCCATAGGGTTGAATGGTATTGTTTTATTTGGAATTATTCCGATTGTTCTTGACTTCACTTGTGTTTACCAACATGGTATCGAAATTGTTTGAATCCCGACTTCTCGTGTTTACTAACACCGACCCCAAAAAAATTTGGCTCTCATGTTGCATCCCGGAATACAAACATGAAAACGAGTGATTAGATTGATTAAGAGGAGTAGTTGATCTCGTACTCATTTCTTCTTTTATTTTTGACTTTCGCAAATGTGGATTAGAGAACATATGAGATCCAATATAACATAGAAGATCAAACTAATACCCATTTTAAACTTTGCCCCGTTTCGAATGGAGAATTCTTTTTTTTGTTAGTAATCCTTTGCTTTTGAAGAAAGTTAAGGTAGTGGTTACACTCGAAACTTAGAAGGTTGAATTATGAACTGATGCTTCTAAACTGAGGTCGATGCACTTGTTTTTATTATTATCTCATAGATTATGGTTATTTACACGAACTTTGCAACTTATTTGAGTTTTTGCTTTGGCTGATGCACCATTATACTTGTAAGTGCGATCGTGCAAGTGACAGGACTGAGTACATGAGCAGGTGGGGTAGCAGTACAAAGGATAGGGAGCTTGAACTGACTATATATGTTACCCTTATATCCTTGTATTATTTCGGAATGTTTATTTTGGGAGCCTACGAGCATGGTACCCTAGTGAGGGTTATGTGTATTTTGTTGTTACGCCTGTGTATATATGTGGGAGAGACCCCACTAGCATGCTTTATTTTGAGGTATTTATTCTAGTATTTATTTATGTATCTTTTATGTGTTCTTTGTACATCTACATCTTAGAATCACGTGTCGATCTTGGACGTATCTAGAATCGAGGCAAGACAGGGACTTGATCATCAAGCACTCTGACAACGGGGTTCGGATCAAAATTTGGCAAGACTGGTCGGGGTTAGTGTTAAGAATAACATTCCACAGCATTCACATGGACACCGTTCGAAACCGGGTTTTGTTAGATGAGTACTATTGTCTCACCAAGAACTGCCCTAACCAAACCTCCGCAGTTCAGATATAAGATATCCTGCCCAAGGAGTATTCGTGTCGAACCTGATTTGCTGGAGTGCTTATCGAACAGTGCAGAACCTTATAGTTCCACCAGTTTTCTGCTTTGGTTTTGAATTAAAGGACAACTAACGAAAAGTCCATTGTTTAGCCCAATTCCAAGAGCATCTCCAAGATGTTGCCTACAAATTTCCTTTTGAAACAGTTAGTCACAATAAAACACCATTGAACATAAGACCTCGGACACAAGGGTAATGTTTTTGACTAGCTGAGCTCCAAACTTTTTTGGGAGGGATGCTGAAAATTTTGTATCCTAAATGCATAAAGTAGTTAGAAATGACTAAAAAAAAGTGATTTGCACACACCACTTTTTTCCATCTGCACACGGCTTTTCTCCCATTTGCTAAAATCATTTCCCACCTTTATATTGAGAGGTAGATTGGGATGATGCGATAAACCCAGTATAAAATAAGTGACAGCTACATCTGTTTAACTAGTTGTATTTAGCACATGACCATCATACGATCTTTGGCCTAAAGACACTCAGTCTCTACTTTCTATAGAAAGTTCTGATTCAAATCTCGTAAATGGTAATTGTTCTAGGGGTGTGCTGACCTTTTTTACTTCTCACACACCACTTGTTAATTTAATTTAGTCGATCCAATGGTCCCAAATTAAGAGGGTGTGTATGAAGTAAAAAAAGGTGTGTGGATAGAACGCCCCTTGTTCTAAAAAATTAGCTCCCAATGAGGGTGTTAAATTATTGCTACATGGAAAAGTCTTTGCCTTGGTGCTTCAATTTGTTTCCATTCCCGTCAATAATTTAGTGCTGTGTGATAACCATTACGTTTCAGTAAAAAGAAAACTGAAAACTGATATGATTATTAAACCGGCCCTTCATCATTTGTTTTCGGTTCCTTCACTTATTTTACCTTTCATCAATTATATCACACTGCAAGAGATGGGAGTTCATAAAAGTAGTAGTAAGCTCTATGAGCAGACTGGGTTGTCATTCACAAACTGGATTCGAAAATTTCCGGCAAGTCACCGGAAACTTTCTGGAAAAGACTCATGAAAATACATCATAATTAAGAGTGTTCTTTCAATACAGTTTCCCTCTGATTACACTTTCTGATTATTCGAGCATTCCGTTTAGCTCGCTTACAGCTCTTCGGCATTCAGGTGTGGTTGGAGGATTATAGAGTGTACTAGTATGATGAAGCAAGTACATCTAGCAAGGAAGCAGCAAACTTCATTTGGGTCTCCTCGTCTATGGTCGAGAAGCGAGGCACATGAACAAAAAGTGATTTGGTCCCGTTTTGCTCTGCAAACCGAAGGGAATGGTAGTAGACGTAATTGCACACAAACCGGCCTGCATCATCTGAGATCACCACCTCATAACCCTTCTCTGCCAAGGCCTTTGTTACGTCCTCGAGGGGAAGAGAAGTCTGCACAGAATAAGTACAGAAATACCTTCAGGACTGATGAAAATAATGAGTCATTCAAGTCATGCGTTTATCAGCCATACACGAATACCAAATAAGACCTGCAAATTAACCATTGCATCAACCGATCATTATACTATAATACTATTGAAGTTGTACTACCATTCAGGTAGTCATCACTTCGCGGTTTCCGTTATTCACCATGCACAGGAATCCCTCTATTCCGAAAGGGTGGCTCCATGCCATCACACTAATCCGGAAAAAGAAAAGAGACAAACATACATTCTATGATTTCCTCTGCATAAAACAAGTTTTATATGGAACAAGAATCCCAGCACAAAAAGATTGCTCATGATTGTATATACTGCAATCTATGGGCTTCCAACGAGGAAGAAAATGCTTTAAGGTATAAATTCGACCTATTTTTAAAGACAACTTCAGTTCTCCAAGCAGGTATTCTTGAAGTAATCATCGTAAACTAAAACGATATATGAAAGTCCAGGAGAAATTACTAGAAATTTTAAAGAAACATCTAAACAAAGAGTCATGGCCACTCATTCTACCTCTCGCACATGTGCAATTCCACCATCTGAAGGAATAATCGGAACTTTCTGCAAAACAGATGATTAAAGTTTAAAAATCTGAACAATGTAGAAGACCTCTCAAATAAAATCCCAATTAACTAGAGAACAAACATTTGAAGTCTATCTAACCTGAGGCTTCCATCCCATTTCATCAGGGTAACGGAAAGTAGCTTCATTGAAGGCTTGTCGCTCGAGAACAAACTTTGTTGCACCACTATTAACACCAAAGTGTATCTACACAAAAATAGTTCAAGTTAAGAAAGGGTATAGGGCCAGATGAATACATATATGCAAGTACTAAAATCAAACCGATGAAATTCTCTCGGACTGATGTTATGGGAAACTTTGTTAATTTTATAGTTCTAGAAAAATCATTAATATATTGCACACATGCATTTTCTCTTGAACACAAAATTAAGAAACGATGGACCAGATGAGAGTAACTGACCCAAATAGTTCTGCTGGAATTTGAAGTATCCTGCTCGGCAATAGCAGATCGCAATGTCTGGCACAGGTCAGCAAGTGCTCCTTGTCCTGCAGTCTCAAGAATGCTGCAACTTCCAAGAACCAGACCTTTTGGTGAACCCTTCTTCTTCACATACTCTGTGAGATTACTGACAATTGTCTCAGTCGGATTCTCCGAAACCCCGTGGAATTTCTTAAAACCGGTCACATGAATAGTTACTGGCGAAGGCCCTTCAGACCCCATTTGTCAGTTTTAATATGTAATCGTTGTATGTGTTATAGCATCAAATCAGAAGTATATCTAGGTTCCTGCATCGAAAAACCGAAAATGAGCAAACAAAGTGCAGAGGTATAAACACAAGCACATTTAAAAAGTATAGGTCTGCAATCAACATGCTTTCCTAAACAAACACATGGATTTCATGTTGTATCATTGAAACAATTCACACCCCGTAACGGTTTTATCTATAAAACTCATTGGTCACTCCAAAATCTGAAAGCTGATTGTTAACAGATGGATTATATCAACCCTCTTCCTCGGAATTTTGCTTCGTATCATACTATTTAACAACATCATGTAATAATTAAACAATTATACGGCTGGATACTGCAAAAGCAGTTAAATTTCAATCAATGATCAATAGTCTATCAGTTGCAGCAGCAATAGTTGATGAGATTGCATCCAAAATTTTAAAAACAAAACAAGTTTCGATTCGAAAAGGTGCAGGAAATGCAAAATTGGGAAATCAACATGGCCAGAAACTAAACCAGCTGACAAGCAATACAATTTTTTAATCCAAGAAAAACAAGAGAACCCGGTATCTAAACAGCAGATGAAGATCACATATCAAAGGCAATCAACAAACTTAAAAAACAAGATAATGTGAAATCATGAAAGCAATCAGAACCCAAAACTGTACACGGAAAACCCAATTGGAATCAAACGGATGATGATGTGTATCGAAGAACCCATAAATCTACCTTGAAATAAAAAGCATGCAGGATTATATATTCTGAAAATTATACAACATAAATAAATAAAACTTGAGATCTTTTCTTTTTGCCTGTAATCTTCACAAGCCTCTCACCCACCTGTCTTATCTCCTCACAGATGATTTATTTCCAACCCCTCTAAGATTCAAAATAGATTGATTAAAGGAGAGAGGGGGGAGGAGAGATAGAGACAGAGAGGGTGGAGAGATTATGTGAGGAGGATCATTTATATAAAAACAAGAAACAAGGTTTAAATATGTGAACAGTGATGCTATCTAGATACTCATTTTTAACGCTACGTAAATTTTTGTTAATTTTTATTCTTAGATTTTCTTCATTTTATTAGATCCAACAATTAAAAATTAAAATAAACGTGTGAGAAATGAAAAAACATATGTGAATAGCATCACTCTACATGAACTATAGATGAATTATTATGGTTAACGGAGGTTAAAATATTTGGTAGTGAAGGACATTGGGGTTATGATTATTTGCATAAATTCTTGATTGGTTTTGCCAACTGTTACATTTAGGTAAGAAACTTTCTTTTTCTTTTCTTTTTTTTTTTGTTCTACTTCTCTTTCTTTTTACAAAGATTTGTCGTTTATTGTTGCGATGGTGATGATTTTCATAGAAAAATTAATTGCTAAACTCAAAGATTTCTTCTTTCCTAACACCAATTAGTATCGCAATTATTGCATTATGAACTTTTGTTTTGGGGAAAATGCATCTCATGATTCTCATCCATTATGTACTATGTTTCTTTGTAGCTCATGAAAATAATTGAAACTCATTAAGCATCTAATTCATAATAATGGATCACATTAATTTTGGGTACAAAAGTATTAACTTGTCATGTCATCAATACGTGAAAATATGGCTGTAAGAGTGCATTCTATGAGCTTGTTTCATGCGATAATTTATATATTAAAATAAATGTATGATGTGTTTGTCCAATGTTTTACTATTGAGCAATCAAGATGAATAATTAGTGGTAATTCGATTATCAAATTCTTACTTATATTTTACTTCATGCGAGATTATAGAATATTTGGTGGTAAAGGCCATTGGGGTTATCATTATTTGCATAAATTCTAGATTGGTTTTGGCAACTGTTACATTTAGGTAAGAAACTTTCTTTTTCTTTTCTTTTTTTGTTCTACTTCTCTTTCTTTATCCAAAGATTTATCGTTTATTGTTGCGATGGTGATAATTTTCATAGAAAAATTAATTGCTAAACTCAAAGATTTCTTCTTTCCTAACACCAATTAATATCACAATTATTGCATTATGAACTTTTGTTTCGGGGAAAATGTATCTCATGATTCTCATCCATTACGTATTATGTTTCTTTGTAGCTCATGAAAATGATTGAAACTCATTATGCATCTACTTCACAATAACGGATCACACCAGTTTCAGGTAAAAAATACTAACTTGTAATGTCATCAATACATGAAAATATGGTTGTGAGAGTGTATTCTATGAGCTTGTTTCATGTGATAATTTGTATACTAAAATAAATGTATGACGTGTTTGTCCAATGTTTTACTATTGAGCAATCAAGATGAATAATTGGTGGTAATTCGATTTTCAATTTCTTACTTATCTCTTACTTCATGCGAGAATCACCTACTTTGGAAATTTTTTTGATATCGGTATTTCAAGCTAATTATGCACTATCATACATTTACCATTTTCAAATGAAAGTGCATAATTAACTTAAAATACCACCAAATAAGTTATCCTCCTTAGCCAGCAACAATTTAGAAAGTAAAAGAAATGTTTTCCACAAAATTTTTTCTATCTTTCTACACATTTTTATTTACTTTTATTCATAATTCTTTTTTTTAGTCTTCCTTTTAATTTCAATCCTAAATAAAGTAAATAGATAAAAAAAAATACACGAAGAAGAGAAGAGTGCGAAAATTATTTTTGGAAATAAGAAGTATCCAAGAGAAAATTGGGTGCTAATGGGCCATGGGAATTATTGAAGGGACCTACAAACAACAGGACAGAATTTCATACCTCATTTTCCTTCCATTTTTTTGGATAAGGACAAACCGACAAAGCCCCTGGTTTTAACTAGACGACAAATCAGAAGTACGCGAACATGACGTACCGGAGACAAGTAGACAACAATGTAGTACAGACCAAATCTAACAGTCTCCCTCCCATCACATTCGTCCATTTTCTCACCCGGGCCAATCATTTCCGGGTTCAGCCCGTGAAAAAATATCAAACGTTCGATAGAGTCAGTGAGGCTCTGTACTGACTATTTTAGTCTGATAAGATAAATAATTATTGGATAGTACTGACTAAATTAGTCGGATGTTTAGTGTAATATTGGACTCTGGATCCAGAAAATAATATTAGGAAGGTTAGTAAGAATAGCGCGCGCAGCGCACAAAATTTTTTTTACCAGAAATAACATGCATATTGCCATTTCATCGAGTCTTGGTAGGCCTAAAGTCATTTGGAAAGGCATACTGCATACCTGTTAATGCCTCATTTGCGAAGGTAACTAACATGTTCCAAAACTGCTTCCATAAGAATGCTTAACAAATAAACACATTTATCTTGAACATACTAACAATGTTTGATATCATTACATCCCATTAATATGATGCTTTGTTATTGACTAAGATCACCATTTCATTTACTCTTCTTTCAGACATTTTATCAAACAATTGGAAGACATGTATGAAGTCAATTCTAATCTTCAAAAGTGCAATCCCCAAAGTATCCATGAATATTTACTGAACTTCAGAAGGTTAGCACCTAAGGTATTCATGGACATTCATCGAAGTTCGAAGGGTCAGCTGACTCCCCCTGCCCCTCAATGCATTCGCCACTGATTAGACTAATGACCATATAATTTATATTGTGTTTGGTTTAACAATGATCTATCGGATAAAACAATTGATGGTTAAAGAAAAAAAGGAAAAAATACAAATTTTTTACGAGTACTTGTTTGTCTGTTGAATGTTTCCCATGTTTATACCAAACAAATGTATAATAATAGAAAAAATTAGTAAACATCATACAACAAATTATATTTACCTATAGTGAATTTCTACATACATTCATATCTGTGAATTTTGAGGAAGATAGAGTGAGGTCAAGATAGTTTCAACCTTGGTTTGACAAGGCGATATTCTAAACTACTCCATTCTACTCTAATCATGCTTTACTACAATTATAGTTGGTAACTTGGTATCATTTAAATTCATGTGCTTATTGTTGGTCATGGCAGGTATAATGTCGAAGTGCCTGATTCATATGAGCATCTCCTTCTTGATGCCATTGATGGAGAGAACCACCTCTTTCTGAGAAGAAACGAGCTTGCCGCTGCGTGGAACGTTCTAACTCCAGTTTTGAATGAGATAGACAAGAAAAATATAGCACCGGAGCTGTACGAGTTGGGGGGTCGAGGTCCGGTTGGAGCTTACTATCTCCGGACAAAACATGGGATTCCCTGGGCAGAGGACTATAGCAACTTAGAACTTCTGTTAATCTTTTTCTCTTGAACAAAAACAACATTGGAATTTTTTTCGGATTTTTTTCTTCACCTTGCGTTACTTGCCTTCATATATGATTCTTGTCTACGCCAAGAAAATTAAGAATTGTTAGTGTTTTTACTAGGGGTGGGATGGTCGGATTAGACTTCAACCCATTGGCCAACCGATCATAGGTTCTAGTTGACATTGTTTAAGCCCATTGTCAGTCAAGGAAATGGGCAGATCGACCAACTCAAATCATTCTTAGGCGGATTGGGTTGGGTGAATTCAACATGTTGGGATTAATTGCTTTCCTTCTTATTCCTAACGTGTATGAGTGAAAAATAATTCAAAATCCATGTCATATTAGATTTAAATCATGTGAACGAAGTAAACTCCCTTGAATATCTTGAAGCGCTTCTCGTTCTCTTGTGCATGTTTTGCCATCCACTCCTCAAACCTCTCCAACATGCTTTTGCTCTTCTCACCACCGTCACTTGAGAGTGGGCGATTGTATGATGCTGGGGAGACTAGTGGAAAGGCAGAATTTTAAGAGAATGAAGTGTATATGCGGTTGATATACTCGAAGCATAGATGAAGGCAAGCTTTGAAATTCACATGGGAAGTTTCAGTCTTATTCATCAAATTTTGATGGAGCATACTTGGTACCAAGCATATGATTGAGGGGGAGCATTAAGTGACGAGTCACTTATGTGATGTGTTTGATTCAGTGACCTGTGGCATCATGTGGTCTATTGGTTTGTTAGTATAGCTAGAAGTCATTAAGTAGTCTGTAATCTTGGGTCAATTTGGCAACTTCGTATCGGTCATCTGTGAAGCCGTTGTAGTTTCAGCCCGGCACGCTTGCATCAACACTCTTTTCACTCCCTTGAGTCTTAGAAAATAAAGTACAAAGAGAAGTGGAAACAAACCCACTAAGAAGTTCAAGACTTGCGCAGGCAATTACACTACTACTAGTTTTCTACAACTGACTAACCGCGACAAAAGAAATCAAATGGAATGCTTGGCGTGGAATATTTTGTGGAAAGTATTTTCGAGGCTACTATTGTGTTTGCAGCTTCGGTGAAATGAATTCCATCCCAGCTCACGTATCGGGATCCTTCATCGCAAACATTAGAACCAGGATGACCACATGTCAAACCGATGTTGTAGTTGTACGGAGGGCCTCCATTGCCGCAGCATGCCATTAGCGGGCTAGAGAAACCTGCATGGTAAAATATTTCTCAAGCTAAATTGTACTGTACTTAAACTAGATTAAACAAACTCGCTATCTACTTGCATTAGCATATATAAGTAGGCTTACCGTATTTCGCGGAGTTGGCAATGAGATCATACTTGATGGCGTATACATCTACATAAACTATAGTAACACCCTTTAATTGAGGTCTCATCCCATTGCATAGATGGCGCAATCCTTCGTTGAACAACCTCGCAGCCGCGTTGTAACTTGAAAGACATCCATATAGATCCAAATCCTTCTTCTGGACTAGCGAAAGCTTTTGAGGGAGACAACCCAATGGCCCGGTATTGTGTATCCAAAAGTTCCTCCCACCGTGATCATATAAAGCCTACAATTCATGTGATAAATATTTCAGTCTCCATATGATCCCTGAAATGACACAAACTGCTAACAAAGTACTTTTGATGACCATTTCTGTAATTCTCTTAACAGCCTGCCTTTGTATGATCGTTGTATATACGGCACCAGACTCACCTGAACGGCGCTCTTGATTGCTGCAATAACTGATGGGATTCTCTTCGTCACTTCAGCGTACGAAAGGTTTTTACCAAACGAATCAGCAAGATCATTTTGTCCAATATCGATCATGTAAAGTGCTTTCCGGAAACCTTCATCACTTATCAAATGTTTTGAACCTAAAAACAAATTAAGCAGCACAATCAGCTAACTGGTTTATGCATTTAGTGCTTGGAAGAAAAACAACGTAGACTTACACACTTCCGCAAGCTCAATATCCAATCAAGGCTTCAACGGAAATTGAAATTCCAAATACTGATGGTTACATTATACATGCATACCTGCAGTAGCCTTGAAATGGATGAACTGCATGACCTGAATATTCAACGAAAACGGGACACGTTTCGGAAGGGTAGAGGACCCGACAACTGCAAAGTTGGCTCCATTTGTGAACCTCGACCCTGCCAGAGAGTCTAGGTATGGACTCAACAGATTTCCATTCAAGCTTTGGCCTGCACAAGAAAAGAACATCATCTTAATATCCATAGCAATTTTATAATTCAAGTCACTGACACTTTGTCATAACCACAAGCAAGACGATTGATAAATATAAGATAGTGTTATTCACACTCATTTTTATTTCTCATACACCCCTTTCAATTTTTTACCGTTGTATCGAATGAATTGAAGATTATCAATGGTCGAAAATTAACAAAGGTGTATGAGAAGTAAAAAAAAAGATGTGTGAACAGCACTATCCTAAATACATAGACTCCGTAGGACTTGGTTAATTAAACTGCACATCTACATGTCACATATTTGTGATAAAAATAAAAGATAAAAGAAGATAGGAACCCATACCCTAGGATATGGGAGATCACGTCTAGTTTCGAATGTAACACTTTCGGTACTGTTCATTTTTAATGAAAATGACATTTTTACTCTAAAAAATCACTAATGGTACTATTTACTTACAATACATTTTTATCATTTTGATTAAAACTCAAAGTTTTCAAGTCATTTTTATTATTATTTTTTTTCATATGCTTGACAATCCCGTTAAAAACAAATAACTCCTCCCATCAAAAAATTAAAAAACAATATTTGAGAAAAATAAAAATTAAATTTCTCACTTATGAGTGTGGGCCTTTGCGAGTACTAATTAATAGCTCAAACAGCTATAATCATAATGTTTGTGCGTGATTTGCTAAGCCTAATTGACTACATACATTCTGAATTATTGTATTAATAATTTGCATGTGCATGTGCCGAAGAAATAAAACTAGTCTAGACAAGTAAAGGGCAAGTCTCAAGTTCAACGCACGTGTACAAATAAGGTGATCCCACCTCATCATTTTGTTTAGGGACTTGAAATTACAATCAAGTCCCTGTTCGGAAATTGAGGGGTGGACCCCACCAGCCAACGTTGTTTACATTAGGGATGAAACTCTGGTCGGTTGGACGGGTTAGAATGTCAACCCAATCCTAACCTAACTTTTACAATTCAGATTCGGGTTCTAGTTGGGTTGCATTCAGGTTCATTTGGGATCGGGTTTAATTGGGTTAGGGTTTGTTTGGGTTGTGTTCGGATTGTCCAACTTTTTCAAGTTAATCTTATAACAACTTAGTTTCTAAGAATTCCTAAAAAAATTAAGCCAAATAACATCAAAGCTAGCTAACTTTAATTTCATAAATCAATCTACTATAAAGTTTTGGAATTTAGAGACTACGAATATAAGATGATTAATCAAATCCTCTTATTTCCTAAAAGCTTAAGTAATTATAAAGGGTAATTTATTAATTTTTTTTAAAAAGGGCATTGGTTTTTTGGACTTGGCTCACTTGGTGTAATATGAGCATTAATTGATATGGGCTACAATTTGGTTAGATTGAGTTTGGTTAGTCGGGTTGGGTTGGGTTGGGTTGGAGATGGACGGACAAATGATCAACCCAACTAAACCCAATTAATGAACGAGTCAAAATTAGGTTAAGTTCGGACGGATTATAACTATAAACAAACTCACATGTTCAGGTTAAAAGTCGAGTTGGACATAGACGGGTTTGAATTGGTTTAACCCACATTCCACCCTAGTTTACCTTACGTAACTCACGACGTGGTTTAGTCGCTCAACGGTAACATCGAAAATATACCCTCGAAACCGCCGACACAGATTTGACAACATACACAAAACGGTCCACTGTCACAGTGGCGCACAGCGCACCACGTCACTCTTTTACACATGACCGTGTATTAATAGCATGATGTCTCAGTCGATTAGTAGATAGAGACGTCACAACAACAATGGATCCGAAGTGAAATTCGGATCAATCAAATCCGGTGATTGGGACGGAGACTCAAAACAGGATCAGATGAAGTTATCGAGACTCATTCCTACTCTTATCATCCTAATGAACTATGTTTATGTCGCTAAAACGCTACTTAAAATGTATGAATTTGGAAGTTGGGGGTGGGGGTATACTTACAGAGGAGGTCGAGGACGAGGCGGCCGTCGGAGAGGCGGCCGGTTGATCTGCGGAAGAAAGTACGGCCGTAGGGGGGGTTGATGGAGAAGCCAAGTCCAGCGACAAGTCCACCGGTGTCCGAGTTGGAGTCCCCAAAGTTGAAGATGATGGGCCTCGGATTGCGCTGGCCATCGACGGAGGCTGAGAGAATAATCAGAAGGACGGTGCCGAAGAACGTGAGAGTGAGACCCAGTGACTGAGTGCAAGACATACCTTCCTCCTGTACAAAATGCACAAATCTAAATTTTTTAATCACTTCACACTTCACACTTCACTACTGAAGAGTCTGCCTCTTTCTCTCACTATGTATCTCACTCAATCTGTGTTTCAGTGTGTTTGTCTGTGTGAGTACTTATATAATTACTGAAGCTAGCTACTTTTTCTTTGCTTTTTAAATGCTTACTTTACTTTATTTTTTAAATATGAAAAATTGTCACGAAATTTGTAATTCTGTTGATTAAGATATTATCGTGCACTTGAAATTCATAGTTCGAGTCTTCCCTTCCCATTCTTACTTGTAAAGAAAAAAATTAGGCAATTGTTATTGACATTTAAAAAATCTTATTTTTCACATCAAACTTTATATAATTAAAAAGAAAAATACACTAGTAAGAAGTGTAGAATGAGATTTTTAGAGTGTTAATAACAGTTTCCAAAAATTATAAGAAAGGTCACAGTTGGTACAAAATATATTTTCACAAAGGAAAGTGATTTCACAATTTCTTTTTCTCTTTCTGTACATTTTTACTTATTTATGTCTCTTGATTTTTCTTTTATTTATTCAGTTCAAAGTAAAAAATAACAGTTATGTATAAAAAAAAAATTAGTGTGTAAAAATTAATTTGATGTCATAAATTTTCATAAACTTGTCTTTGTTGCGGTTCCAAATGTATGGGTGTGCAAGACTAATTTCAGGTAAGTAGGCATTATATAGGAAGATTCAAACAATGCACCGACACCTTTGCTCTCTGGCCTACATAAATATAATACTCATTGTTCAAACTCCCTCTCCTAAACAAAATTGTAATTTTTAACCATGAAAAACAACAACGCAGAAAAAAATCTGCCTATTTGAGGCTGTACATAAAAGATTTGGTGCTAGCCATATGTTGAACTTGTCGAATTTAATTTTTCTAGTCTTAGTATTTATAAGTTTATAAAACATCAGTCGGATCAATCTAATTGACATAGCCAAGCTTAAGGCAAACCACATCAATTCACCAAAGAAGTTTTTTTGGAAACAAAAACTATCGTGATTTATTGATAATTAAGAAGTATGATCTTCAAATAAAACATCACAGATATGATTTGAGATTTCTTCAAACCAAAAGAAAAAAATGCTCGGAGTACAAAACCAACTTGGTTAACCTATGTGCCGACAGTAGCCAGATGAGCTCTTCGAATGCTATATAATTTGTTCCAATCCTTTGTTCATGTTTCCTCGAATGCTATATAATTTGTTCCAATCCTTTGTCCATAGAATTTTTTATAAGTATAATACGATCCAACAAAAAAGATTCTTAGTAAGGAATTATTTTCGAGAGAATAAAGAAAGATGCAAGAATTTGCAATTGGTAAATTGAATAAATACTAAATTACATGAATTTAGACCATTCAAATACTGATATTTCTGTGTAATGATCCAGCCTAACAAATTCTTCTGTTTAAATTGATTGTACATTGAGATTGCCGAAAATTAAATGAGATTCAATGTTGAAGGTCAATAGCAACACCAAAAAAGACCATACATTTTAAACAAAATAAAAGAAAATTTTCCAAAGTGAAAAGGAATACCTTCTTTTCAGGTGTAGAGATTCCATGGTTTGCAGCTGCATTTCTCTCTGGGATTTGTTGATGGAAAGCTAGGTTAAAAGCTGTAGGAGGAGGACGACCAAAAGCACCCTCCCCAATAACTCCTTTATCTTTCCTTTGGTTAATTCTTCCACTCTCTAGCAAAGATTGAGAGTCATCGTCTTCCTTTATTCTGTCTTTCATTTCTTCATATAACAATTATTCAACCGTGTTCGGTCTCAAACGAGTCACTGACTCACACACATAGAATCCATTTCAAATCTAAGACGCTAAAACAACACAATGTTATATAAAGACGTCCGCAATTTAAGCATGGCGTACGAGATTTCATGCGGATTACGGTCAACGTTCATTTGGTAACATGTTGTTTGCGGTCGTTGATCCCTTTGTGTTTAAGGTCATGCTTATCTTATGGCCTATTTGAGTTTTGTGGCCTACTTATATTTGAGCCCAACATATGTGTTATGAGGGCCGAGGTCCAAATTTGGATGACGGAACCATATAACGTTATTCACACTACAATTTATAGGTGTTTTCTTTCTATTTTTAAGTGGAAGATTTTATGTTTGATTTACGTGAATGATAAGTTCGATACTTAATTATGACTAGTTTATCATGGAACTTGGTCTAATCCTCACCTCCAACATCAGGCGTGACCCTAATGGTTATGTACTTCTTTGTAACGAGTTACTAAGCAATCTAAAGTTTGAATCTCCACCGCCACTTAGTATATCTTATACAGTTTAATGAATTCTTCTTCACTTGTAAACAAAAAGTTTTAGGCGTTCTACTCTTGTGGATAAGAGTTTGATACGTACCAAATAAACATGACTAACTCATTGTGTGAGTTAGTTCAAATCCATTATCTCTTAGTGTAAATGTGTCATGTATTAATTCAAACAAAACACTACTAAAAGCAGTGTCCATTCAAACGTTATGTAGGTTGATGCTCTTCTTGTTGGTGAATCTCCGTCCAAACAGTGTCCATTCAAATGTTAGAGATTGATGTTAAATTGACAAGGACTCTTATATAATGAGTGATAAGGCCCTATGCATTGTAGGAAAGTAATGTGCTATTTGCAGTTATAGCTAACACATGTTCAAGTTTGGTAGATGCGTATATTAATACCGGTTATGCCTTTTGAAGTAAAGTTAATACATGCATTCTTTGTGGTTGATGTCAGAATGTGAATGTGATCTTCGTGGTTGGTGATAGAGGTATTAAACCGCAAGCATTAGCTAGATGGCCGAATAAGAAGATACTTCGTAGTTCTTCGATATTTATAAATTACCTAACATTTTAATACATATACATCCGACACGGGAGGAGAGAACCGAATACAAGAACTAGAGCAAATGCATTAATGAAATTGTTGAGAATCAATCTTACATCGGATAAATGAGTAATTATGCATGTGCTTATAAGCAGTTGGGATAATCTTCATAATGTCAGTTGGTTTTACGGTAGACCCTCAACTTTCTTATAAAATCATAACTAAGTTTTCCCATTTGTGAAGCCATTGAGCCACACGTGATCCACGTCACCCGATTTGTGTTGTCCATATACTAGGCTTGAAAATTCTCCACACATGAAGATGTGTGTTGAGAATATCAATCCCACATCAAAGAAAAAGAAAATTTCATTAAGTGTTTTCAGGAGAACAACTTCTTTCATCAGAAATCGCGACATTGGAAAGTTACAACAGGTACTTTCACATAACATTTGAACAAATTCAGCAGTATTGGAAAGAGGAAAACTGATATAGGAATTCGAATGGCAAGGCTAAGGAAATCGTGACATAGGAACTTCCAATGGGTACTTTGAAATCGCTACGCCTATACCAACCTCAATTTTGGGTGACGTTTACCGAATAATTGCTCAAAAGACAAAACTGAAAGCGTCTTTATGTGGTAGTGGCAGTCGCATTTAGATATGTAGCCATGCACAAGCCCAAGTGTTACAAGAAATCAATCTTTAACGGTTTCTCTCTCTTATTTCCACGCAAAACTCTCTTCTACTTTCTGTTTAGCTTCTTTAACCTAACTCTATATATTGCCCTCCACATTTCTCATTCTCCGCGCTCTCTCATTACGCTCTTCAATACTTTGGCCTCCCTCTCTCTCTCTCTCTCTCTCTCTCTCTCTCTCTCTCTCTCTCTCTCTCTCTCTCTCTCTTATTTTCTTCGGAAAACCCTCGACGGTACGAGGGAAAGTTCTCTCTCTCCCTCTCTCGGTTTCTCCTTCTCTCTGTAGTACAAGTTACAAAGTAGCTAGGGTTCTGCAGAAATGGCTGGCTATAGCGAATACATGCCATTCATGGCCATGGTTTTGGTCCAAGCGAGCTATGCAGGAATGAACATTATTTCAAAGCTTGCTATTGAATCTGACATGGACCCTCTTGTTCTTGTTGCTTATCGTCAAGTTTTCGCCACCGCTGTCATTGCTCCCTTTGCTTATTTGATGGAATGGTAAAGTGCTCATCTGTTAGTCTTGTTGCATGTCACTAAATTCTCCTAGGGTTTGAGTTTGATTTCATGCACCAATTTCAAAAATTTTGTTTTCTCTCTGTTTTTTGTGGTCGAATGTTTTCCTTCTGTTGAACGCAAGTTTTAATCGAATTTTTGTCTCCCTGCATGTAAAGTTACTTAGTTTATTTGAGTCAAATGGTCTCAAATTTTCAGTATATATAATAAGTCTTGGCCTGGATTTTAAACATCATAAATTATATATATAAAGACTGCATGTTTGTTTTGTTCTTCATTTCAATCAGATTTTTATCTTCTTTTACTTTTTGCCATTAACAAATAGAAATTTAGTTTTTTGAATGATCATATAGAATTTGTTTTTTCCGTTCCAGTAGTGATTTTTGCACTCATTGTTTAATTGTCATTTGTACTTTAAACTAAAATATTTTGATAATTATTTAAGGATTTTAGCTTAATTAGGCTAAAAAAAATGTTAAAAGTGACTAAGAGCATCTATACCGATGCTTCAAATTGGCAAGTGGAAATGTAACGGTAAAAAATAGCATCTCATTTCATCCCAACCAATCAACCAAAAGCTGATGTGGATTGAAGGCTTGGTGGTTGACGTCAAAAATGCCGCCTCAAAATTCATATTCCAAATAATTATTTCAGTTTTTTTTTTTTTTTTTTGGTCCACTTTTGGACTGGCCTTGCATTAAATTTGGTATTTTTTTTCCCCACTTTTCGATGGCCTTGCATTAAATTTGATATAAGTGAAGCTTTGTCGTCTATAAATTTAGTCTTCCTAACATTACATTACAAAATAATATATTAGATATATCGGTTGAAGATGTAATTTTAACATAATGTCAAACTGCCATGTGAATCATCAAATCGTAATTTGGTGTTCAATATTTGACGTCGAGATGCTTTAACTCTCGCTTTGATTTCTTTAGTTGAAGCACTTAACTTTTTAATTAAAAATGGTTCTTGGAAAATCCGAAAATTGAAAAACTCTGGTGAACGAATTTAATTAGCTAGATCTGGTATTGGAGTTGATCTAGGCACGCAATAAACACAAAAAGCCAGCCAAAGCCATGCATGGAAAGTGTGTCAACTTTATTTTCCAGTCTGTCTCTTTTGGCCCTTTGGGGGCTTAATTTAACGTGCCACTCGTAACTGGCTCAAGGTGGCAGCACCCTTGCATGCCTGTCGCCATGTCATGCTTAACCATTTGTCCTTTCCTTCTTCTCTGCTTAGCTCAAGGCCATTGCTACGTATTAGCTTGGTCCCGACCTCTCATGGCTGCATGCAATTTTATTAATAATCTTATTTCATATATACAGCTGGTAAATCAGTAGGATTAAGGCTTAATTAAGCATCCACCTATGGGATGCATTGATGCAACACATATCCACCGATAGAGCTTAATGTATTTTTACTATGCAAATTTTATTATTTTATAATGAGACACGTTTATGTTCTTAATCATCATTTAAGTTCATCTTTACATCATAAAAAATATATCAAATAAGTGAATGTTACTTGATACCAACAATGTTTATTTGCTCTGCATATAAATCATTAAATAATTTTCAATTTGATTGGTACTTTATATATATAGAGAGAATCTATAGATTGATATTGAAAAAATAAATGATCCCGATTATGAAATTTTAACTGGTAAATACATTGGTCGCAAAAGAGTGAACAAGGTGGCGTGCAAGTATTTTCCTAACAATAATATAAAAAGAGAAAAAGAAGGATATGATGATTATTAATCAATACCAGTTTCTTTAATTTTCGCATTACAATTTAGAGAAAGTTCCTTTACACATCATGTTTTTTTTATGTTCGTTCTCTCTTTCTAATAGGAAAACAAGACCGAAGATCACGTTGCCTATTCTCTTCCAGACGTTTCTGTGCTCATTAACTGGGTAAGTGTGTTAATTTGTTCTTAATTTAATATCAAATTTATCATGTGCATCATTGGAAATCAATTAATTCACTTAATTAATTATAATAACGTGAATTTAAAATGCAGGGCCACTGCAAATCAGGTTTTTTATTTTCTCGGTTTAAAGACTTCGACCGCAACGATTGCATGCGCATTGCAAAACACACTTCCGGCCATGACATTTATCCTTGCAGTCATTTTCAGGTACTATATATCGTATTACATCGTACTAATTAATATGTTATTTTTGCACTAATTAGTTAATTATATGTTTAACACTAATGGAATGTTTAATTTAATTTTGCAGACAAGAATCTGCAAAGCTCAAGAGCAAAGCAGGGCTATCTAAGGCGATGGGAACAATTGTGTGTGTATCTGGAGCTATGTTACTTTCATTTTACCATGGACACATCATTGGTCTAGGTGACTCCAAAATTCACTGGACTTATGCTCAGAGAATGGGAGAAGCAAGTTCCAGCACCAAATCAAGCTCCTTTATTGGCCCCCTTTTTGTCATCTTAAGCACCTTAGGTTGGGCATTCTGGTTCATAATCCAAGTAAGTAACCGATCATCATCACGCTTTCATTTTTCGTGTTTTTATTAGGTTCAGCGTGTATAGAAATAGGAATGATATGTACTCGTCTGATGACAATCAATGCTGTGATAAGCATCGCCGCCATTACGGATGACGAGCAAAAATGAACTCTAAAATTAGTGCTACAGTTTTTCATTGGCTAAATTATAGCTACAGACGCTAATATCTATTGGGAGTTGTTTTATCGTTGTTGAACTCGAATAATAGTTGCTCCCGTCCTCCGATATAATTTCAGGCTAGAGTAGGGGAAAGCTTTCCAGCTCCTTATACAAGCACCACACTGATGTGTTTGATGGCCAGCTTTGAGTGTGGGATCATTGCTGTAATTGCTGATCACAAAGCGGCTTCATGGTCTCTAAAAGATCCCATTAGGCTTGTTGCATCCCTCTTTGCTGTATGCACTAGCTCTTACTCTTGCTTAAACTTATTCTTCAATTATTAATCATTAGATTTGCTAATTTATACTAACTCATGAGCATAATAACTAATTACAGGGAATTATGGGTTCTGCACTAGCATTCTTCCTCTCTTCATGGAGTATTCAGCTAAAAGGCCCTCTTTACGTGTCCGTGTTTAGTCCCTTGCTCCTCATCATTGTTGCCATTGCAAGCTGGGCTTTGCTCGATGAGAAATTATACGTTGGAACGTACGTATACATACAGTTTCGGTTTCATTTTTTCGCAATGACCTAAACCAAAATTCCTATTAATTAATTCACTTGGATAATCTCATATGAAAATTATATACTAATTAGCTTGATACATATTGTACTTGATTCAGTGCTGTAGGGTCAGTTTTGATTGTTGCCGGGCTCTATCTTGTTCTGTGGGGGAAGAATAAGGAGACGAAGGATGAGAAGCCAACAAAAGCAACAGGCATGACAAAGACGACAGATGAGGCCAAGGCGTATGAGAAAAGCGACTTGGAGCTGCAGCAAGTGCATCCGAAAAGCATCCGTGACGTTATGGGATAGAGAGGAGATCGATCGATCAAGACAAACAGATCACAACAGCAGATCCCAAAGTTCACAATCTGTTACATTGAATATCTATGCTACCATTTCATTTCCATCTAGAAGTCCGTCCATGATGAGTCCTCTCAGCATAATATATATAAAACGTTGATCATCAATCCATGCATGCATTTGGAAGTTTCTGTAATCAACATTAATAAACCCTAATTTCATGTCATGTCAATCATAATTTATGTTTTGATTGAACTATATATTAAGCAGTAGTTCTATATTTCTAATAGAAACCAGCCATGGCCATGTTCTTCAATTTCACCAATATTAGGAGAGCAAAATATCTTGGACTTTTCAAAACAAATTTGTTGCCGTTATGTCAACTCAAAAAGAATGAGTTGCGTTGGAATTGAGAAAGTTCCGTAGAGTTCATAATTGCATAAAAGGAGTTCATCATTCGAAGGGAAGTAGACTACTCAAGAATTTCACATTTTATTTATTTTATGTCAAAATTGAATAAAGAATTCCAAAAATCTAATAAAACGAAAGCCTAGATTCCAAATGAATGAAAACGTATGGGGACACTACTGCCTTAACTCTCTCTACAGCCTAATTATTAATGCATGGAATATCAGAATATGAGAAACAAATATCACAATTATATTGACATTTAAAAAGAAAAAAAATCATCGTTCTTAGAGTCGGTGTTGTTGAAGATAGTCCGCTTGAAAAGGATGGTGCCGTTGTTGTTGTGCATGGAAATCGAAAGGTGGCACATTATACATGCACACACACATCAACAAGTTTCATTTTTCATACGTCTGACTTTCGAGAATAGTTGTTGGCTTTGCTACTAATTACAAATAACACGAAAGAAGTACAATTCTTAACTCTCTTGGTTAGCTAATTAATGAGAAACAATATCGTTTTGTGCTCTTTTTTTTCCGTACAAATCTTGTGAAACTTATTTTGAGAAGTAAGGTCTGAAAGTATTTATTTTCTTATTGGCGAAGAATTGACGAAGGTAAAAACAAATGTCATAAAAAACAAGGGAACTACTTTTATTACTCCAAAAATCACATTCTACACTCCTCACAAGTGTATTTGTCTTTCTAATTGTAGAAAATTTGGATTACCAAATGAGATTTTTGGAGTAGTAATAACAATCCTAAAAATAATTAGGAAATTGACTGGTTTGGATGAGCTTATAATATATGCTCAGTCAAAAATATAAGAATGGGCTTCTGATTACGGGCCCAGTAGCCCAAATCAAATTTGTAATTCAACCAATCTCTAGGGTCACAATCGGAACTGAGAAAAACCATGAATGTCTTCCTCTATATAAAGGCTGAAACCCTACTCTCGTCTCTCCAGTTCGTCGCCGTCGCATTACTCTCCTTCTCCTATTCCATGAAAACCCACCGTGTTTTTCTTTCAACCATTTCTTCTCCGATTTCCATTTGTTTTCTGGTATGGGTTTTTCTTTGTTTCTATTTATTTATTATTTTCATTATATTTTCGATTTGGATATGCGTCTGATTTTGTTTCGATTTTAAATTTTAGGTCAGGATGATTTTTAATTTTAATTTGATTAGTGGCTTTCAGATTTAGCTTTCAGATTTATTATTGCTGTGCTTGTTTGGATTTTGATGAAATTTCAGATTTTTAGGAGAGTTTGGGTCAGGCAAAGGATTTGTATTTGTTTTTTGGTACATTTAGATTTTGATGAAGTTTCAGATCTTTAGGAAAAATATTGGAATTCGATTTCAAATCCAAGTTCAAAGTTTGTGGCTTAATGTTAGATGATCTGATATCATGATCTAAAATCTTAGACGCATTTGGTGTGTTGTGGTATTGAAATCCAATTGTATATCAAACATGTCTCTGGGTGATCTTTTTGTCAATGGATGTTAATACGAATGCAATATGTATGTGCTAACTGGTAATTGTCGCCGATACACTTACTGTTTCCTTAATTTTATTTTAGTTTTTAAAGTGCTTATGGACGGTCTTGTGCTGATTAGATTTTCCTCCGTTAGCACACAACAAATTCATAAGCTACAGTTATTGTTGCCACCTTTTGTCTTTCAAGTTTTTTCCTTATTACTTCAAGGAAAAGCTATCCGCTTGGTGGCGAACATTTCACATTACTCAAGTACTGTCTTTTGCCGATTAAATGTTTCATTACTAGGGTGGTAGTTTGAGCTACTTATACCGGCGTTATCCACGGGTTCCCCTTTGACTATACATGAGAATATCCATGCTGCGGTGAACATACTTTTTTGTTATAGATTTGTCTGCGCCAACTTGTCCTTTTGGTTTTTCATAATAATATATAGAGAAGCTCTAACTTTCCTGTGGCGGACATCTACTATGTACTTAAATCATGTGTTTTGTTGATTCAATACATTGTTTTGTTGATTCAATACATTAAGGATATGTCAGATCTTCTTGCATGTGCTTATTGTCGGTCTTGTGCTGATTAGCTGTTTCCCATCAGCACATAATGTTATCATAAGCTACATTCACTTGTGTCAACTGTTATAGTTTTTTTCCTTATGGTATATGCCAACTGCTTTCCTTGCTTTGTCTGACGTTTTCATAACTTTAAACATATGTTAGATCTGCTTTCTTGTATCACTCTTGAATATTATGGCCTCTCACATGTGCATTATGTTTTTATTGGGACAGATTCGACCTTTATGGAGACGCTGTTTCCAAAATACCCTAGGGTTAATTGTCGTGGTTGACAGCAATGATTGGGACCGTGTTGTTGAGGCGGGGAATGAGATGCACAGGATGTTGATGGACACCCATGTATTGCTAATTATTGGTAGATTAAAAAATCAATCAAGTAAAAAAAACCGCAACACTTTCCAAAGACCAGACAAGTTCGGATCGACCGAACTGGGTGAAAGAGGCCAAATTGGGTCGGACAGGAATGTGCATTCCAAAAGTATACATATATTAAAACTTAACACAAAATCACTGTTCATTAACAGTGAACGGACGAAAGTGCCTTCTAATTCTTTTGTTATTGACAATTTTTTCCAATCACACAGCAAAAAGATCGTTTTGACCTTGTAGCCTACAAGTCATCATCGCTTCACATTCTCTTTTGACAAAACACTCTTCATATGTATTTTGGATCTATACTAACATGTATGTTTTTATGAGGGAATATTATTTTTTCTTGATGAAGAATATGATATAATGCCAATGATTCGTAACATGACTTTTCAAGTTGCAAATCATTCATACAAGGAATGCCGGAATGGTTTAAAAGTGAAATATTATTGTAGGTTAATTTATATTATAGTCTTTATGAAGCGATGATGACTCGTAGGCTAGGAGGTCAAAACGGTTTTTTTGTTGTGTGAATGGAAAAAATAGTTGATAACAAAAGAATTAGAGGGCACTTTATTCCGTTCACTGTTAATGAATGGGGACTTGTGTTAAGTTTTAGTATATGTATATTTTTGGAATGCACAGTCCTGTCCAACCCAGTTCGGTTGATCTGACCTGGTTCGATCTCACCCAGTTTGGCCTGTCTGGTCCGACTTGCTTTGTTCGATCCAACCTACTTTGTGTGGCCTGACCCGGTTTGGTCTGCTTGTTTCGATTTGGTTGGTTTGGCCAACTCAACCCTGTTGGGTTCGAGACTTGATCCAGTTCATCCGTCTAATTAGATTTGGTTAGGCCCGACCTAATTTGACTGTCGATCTGGTTCGGCCCGACCCGTTCCAAGACTCCAACCAATTCTGGCCAGACCCAACTTGGTCCAGGTGGCCTACCATTCTTGTCCGACCTGACCCGATCCAGTTATGGTCTGACTTGACCTGATCCAGTTAGGCTTACCAGTTATGGTCCGACCCGACCCAATCCAGTTGGCCTACCAGTTCCGATCCAATCCGACCCGTTTCAGTTGGCTTACTAGTTTTGGTTCCAGTTGGCTTACCAGGTTTGGTCTAGTTCGACCCGATCCAGTTGGCTAATTAGTCCTGGTCCAATCCAGATCCCCTTCTTGTTTGACCTGACCCTGTTTCTTTAGTTGGGTTTGATCGGTTCAGTCTTTTTAGTTGAATAGCACAGAGCTAACTAACTTATCAACTTCATGAAATTGGGCTGAAAAGTTTTGACCGCCCGTTTAGATTTCATTTTGTAACCTCTCATACATATTTCATATTGTTTATGATGTCAACCAAAAAGATCGAACCATCAACCTTGTACTAATAGATGGATCAAATTCGTACGGTACTTTTCACTGCATGGATGGATAGAGGAATAATGAATAGCTATTCAATGTTGTGGTCGATTCACATGAATCGACCAAAAATACAGATATCGTTCAGATATCTTATGGTAAAATAATGAATCAAATTCATATGGTACATTTCATTGCATGGATGCATAGAGGAATACAAAGTATAACATTGTAAATAAGAAATTGAAAGATTTCGTTGTAATTGTTTGTTTTGAAATTTCTCAGCAAGGTTGTTCTCTCCATTGGAAAAGTAGGGCCATTGTACTCATTAAGATATTGAATCGACCATCAACTTTCGATCTCTGTATGCTTACTGCAATAATATATATCCAAAACTGAAGATGTCATCCAACTTTTATGTCTATCTTTTCGTGACTGTCTAGGGCTTCAAACAAATAATGAAACAAAAAGGAAGATGATTTTCAAGCACCGTTGATTCTCTTTGTTTCACTCAATTCAATTGCCATAAATAATTAGGGGCGTGTTAGAGAAAAAGGACAAGGATCTACCTTTCCACTTCCTGTGCTCTCCTATTTTGTGTGGTCACAGTTAAGCCATATCAACATTTTATATTGTTTTTTTTTTAGAGATAATAAGACAAACAATATATCTAATTCAATGATATTTTACAAGAAGTTGTTGGGCGTTCGCATCAGTGGCAACCGTAGAAGGGCTTAACAAACTCAAAACTAGAAACTTAATTTCACTATTAGAACAAGAGCTAGTTGATTGTGACAAGAGCAATTACGATCACGATTGCAATGGAGGTAATTCAGATGTTGCGCGCACTACTACAAAAGAGGCTATCACTGGCAAAGCAAAAACCGACAAGAACTCCAATTTATGTCGGAAATTTGGTAAAAATCCGATATAAAACCATGTAATGTTGGATTGGAATAGCGACACCATTGCTAGCATCATGAAAGGGCTTCGATGTCGGTTTGTCCGCTTAATCCACCATGAAGTAGCGTATGTTAAAAGTGACACCGAACTTTATGTCGGTTAAAAGCGATGTGCTTTTCTAACATGATGGCAATTAAACTATAAAATATCCAACCCACTGTTGGTTTTAACCGACATTAGCTAACAATTAAATAAATAAAATATGCAAACTTCTTTGCTTTCGTTTTCAATTAATAGTAATTAAAAAAATTATATAAAAAAATAATAAATTTCATGTATAGACCAAAACAATTCTTGCCTCTTCCGTTTTCAATGAACCATACTAACGGTCTTAACATGGTTCTTCCGTTTTATTTATATGTCAACGAAAAAACAAATAATTTTAAGCAAACTTCATATTAAAAATAAAATTTCCAAGAACTATATATTAAATTCAAAATTAATAACATTTCTTAAAAATGTACAACCCATACAAATTCTTGCCGCAGTCTATTCCAGTATGCCACCAACTCAACCCACTGTGCAACATTCACATCAGGAGGAGGGTCGCTATGCAGCTTGGCTGCTCTCTTAGTATAATAAGTTTTTTAAACTTATTTCTGTACTCTTTGTGCGCATGCTCCACAACCTAAAGCGTCATATGGCGAATCATAGGCATTTTTGCTATATCTTCGTCTTCAAAAAAAAAAAAATTTCCCTACATCCATAAAAAAAATCAAGCTAATTAATTATTATTATTATAATCATTGACTTATTCTTCTATTTTCAAGTAAATATATATATATATATATATGTATATGTATATGTATATGTATATCTATACCTTTATTCTATTCCAGAAAACTTCCTTATATTCTTCCTTAATCTTACGCCAATCACCCGTCAATGGGAGATTTCTGTAATCTCCAACCACCCGCTACATATTTTGAAAAAGCACTAGAATTATCACTAATGCATTTTCCAGACAAATCAAATGAACAAAGCTGTTTTATCCATTTGGGAATTTAGGGTCCGCGCCTCCGTTGAGATGTTCCTTATTAATACAAAAAAAAAAAAACACCAATTAAAAACCAAGAAACAAAATTAAATTTTAAGTTTAAGCATAATACTAGTTTAAACACAAAACAAAAACCGAAATTAATAATAATTCACAAATGAACTAGCTTCAAACTCTTCCTCTTCGAAATGGAGTTCCTCAGAACGTTGATCTTCACTTTGTTGATCCATAGCAAAAGTTAGTGGAAGAAGGAGTAAGGCCGAAATGGGGGAAGGAGAGGGAGTAAGGGCGTAGGGGCAAAACCGAAGAAGTAAACGAGAGAGAGGGAAATGAAAGCACGAAAGTAATGGGGGAAGAAAGGGGTTTAAATATGGATAATAAGTTGGCGTCGGTTAAGACTGATAACGGTTGTAAGTGGCGTCGAAATATGTACACTTTGCGTCGGTAAAAACCGACACCTGCTTTGACACACTGACTTAAACGTACGTGGCGTCAAAATATTTGAACTTCGCGTCGGTTAAAACCGACACTAAGTCTAACACGACTTCAATGTATGTAGTCTGACACACTTGATTGAAAGGCAAGTGGCGTTGAAATAGGAAAAAATTGCGTCGGTTAAAACCGATGTGAGCCTGACAGACTTGACAGTGATTGGAAGTGGCGTTGAAATAAGAAAATTTTGCGTTGGTTCAAATTGACGTGAGCCTAATAGACAAGACAGTGATTGCAAGTTGTGTGGAAATAAGAAAGCGTTGCGTCGGTTAAAACCAACGTGAGCTTGACAAACTTGACTGTGGGCGTCGAAACAAGCGGGAAAAGTCCCGCCCAAAATATTTCAATTTAACACAGGGGAGAGGACATAAAGGCCATCAATCTGTCGCTTCAACCAACACCGAGTTTCTGTCAGTCAGAACGGACGTAGGCTTTAAAATATTTAAAAACAATCACTAGTATCGGCTAGAAGCGACACCTATTCCGACACCAACTTTATGTCGTTTAAAAGCGACACGGTTTTTTTTAATGCGACACTAGTATTTAAAAATTATTAAAATCTATGTCGGTTATAAGCGACATTAATTGTTTACGTCGGTTAAAAGCGACATAGACTGTTTATGATGCTTACAACCGACAGTAAATCCAACTTCAAGTTCAGTAGGTGTCGCAAATGTCTTGTCCACCACTATATTATATTAAACCGACATCACCCACTGACACAATAAGGCCCTTTTGTAGTATATTATTTTTAGGCAATTTGCCAAAAGAGTGATTCAACCTCCGAAATTCTTACCATCCAAGGTATTCTAACCTCAGCATTTTATTAATTAAAAAAAAAAAAGGACTATTTCCGTTACTCTTTTGGATTATGAATTCCAAATAAGAAAGGGAATTGTACAAGTAATTTGTGTATATTTATCACATAATGTCCTAAATTAATTTTATAGGACTATTTCTTCCTGAGAAGATGGCTGTGTTCGCAACAATGTCAAACCACCGCCGGTCTTTCTGCTTGGCCTTATTGCTTGTGCTAATTTTGGCCTTCCGGTCCGCCCAAGCATCCACCAGTAGTGTGGTTTCCGTCGAGGGTGAGAATAGCAAAAGCATGTCGGAGAGGTTCGAAGGGTGGATGGCGGACTATGGACGAGTTTATAAGGATGAACAAGAGAAGGAGATGCGCTTCAAGATATTCAAGTCCACTGTGGAGAATATAGAAGCTTCAAACAAAATCGAAGGCCATACATACACAGCCGGCCTCAATGACTTTTCGGATTTAACACATGAGGAATTTATGTCGAGAACTTGTGGCCGGTGCCCAACCATGTGAATCCATAAACAACAGAAGCACTCTGATGATCTGATGATCTACGAGTACCATTTTCTGTCTGATTCGCTTGACTACTTGTAATAAGACTGTTTTGATTTGATTCGGCCGTGTACTTGCTACAATTTGATTATTTTTTGTTAAAGCTAAAATTTTATTTAATAATGGTTGTGACTAGTTTTTCATATTACTCTTGCCCATATATTTATTTATTATTAACGGAAAGAAAAGTTTCGAACACGAGATGCATGAATAAAAATTTAACATCTTATTCACTAAGACATGTTACACAATAATACTGGGCCGAATATATGATTATATGTAGAATTTTTCTATTTAAACACCACCTCTCATCTAAGTCGCACCAATTCCTATCCACACACCATTAAGAATTCTATATAAACTCGGCCAAATGTATGTTTTGTTTACTTCTAGTTCATCAATTGAAATCATAAGTTTTTCCAGCCAAATATATGATTTGTTTCTTTCTATTATTCAATCCCAAAGATAATGCGTGGCGCCACACATAACTAAATATTAATCAAAACACGCTTTGTATAAAGTTAAATGGGTGATGCCAGAGATACCACATTTTATAAATCAAACCAAACAAGTCGGTCTCACGGCTATGAGAGAGATGATTCATATGTGGTTTGCAAAATGTGATATTCCTAGCTAAAATACGTGAAAAAAATGCTTAAGAAGGTGTTTGCAGTTCATGTCTCTTTACAATACAGCTCATATACCCACTGGTTTCACCATTAATACAAGGAAAACGAGTGAGTTTAAGACAATCCGCATAAACACTAATTCACCACTTAATTATTTTTTACAGTTTACCAATCAATACCATATAGAGCAATCTTTACCCATCCTGGTAAATCAAAACATGCCGTTTTGACCCTCAGCTAATACCCTTCCCAATCCATCATCATCATCATCATGAAAAATATTAATTAAGTCAACATTAGAGAAGAAAAAAGAAGCATGAAGAAATTGGTGTTGAAAACTTTCTTCAAAAGTGTCTTATATTTACTACCTACTGCCTAGTCCAATGACAATTACATAGATTAATAATCTTTGTCTTTACCCCATTCTAATATTATAGCAAGGTCCTATAAAGCTAGATTTACAAACTTGGTAATTAGATCTCCTCTACTAGTATAAAATCTAAAAATGAAAAAACACAATCGAATCTGACAATTGAGATGATAAATGTATTAAATACATGCACATATTTTGGCCAAATTTTTTAGTTTGAGCAATTTTTTGGTATAATAGGTAAGTCCAAATGACACGAAAAAGGATAATCTTGTGATGAACAAGTTTTTATTTTTATTTTTTAAAGTAAACCCATTTTACGTGCTAAAATAAAAGTTTAGTTGGGTATAAAAGTCTTGGCCATTTTCTTTTGCATGTAAAATTTTGTGTATAAACCCACGCCATGCTGAATGTGTTGTATACCAAGATTTAACTTATCTAAACTCCAAGTAAGTGCTTACCAATACCATGGCTCTACTCATCACAAACCAAGGCCAATCCCTCGCCTTTTTTCTGGTTCTCGTTTTGGCCATCTGCTCCCCTCAAGCTTTTTGTAGTCGTCAACTTTCTGGCGACGACAAAATCATGTTGGAGAGGCACGAGGGGTGGATGGCTCGACCTGGACGTGTTTACAAGGATGCACAAGAGAAGGAGAGGCGTTACAACACATTCAAGTCTAATGTGGATTCTATAAAAGGTTTTAACAAGAACGGCGAAAACCAGTACACACTCGGCATCAATAAATTTGCAGACCTAACTAATGAGGGGTTTCAGGCGATGCGTAAAGGCTACAAGAAGAGACAGCTCCCGGAGATCATGTCCAACTCTGTGAAAGCAGCTCCAAATAACAATTTTCGATATGAAAATCTCACCGATGTGCCAAAATCTAAGGATTATTTTTCACTTGGCGCTGTGACCACTGTCAAAGACCAAAGACAATGTGGTAAGCATGCAAGATTAATCTATCTCTATGAGGTTTTACTTTCATATATCATGTAACATGTTTTCTTGTTTGATTGTCCGAAAACATACGATGCTTATATTTCCAAAATCTGAATCTGGATAGCGACTTCAACCAATAATCAATCTAAGTTCAAAGTCTGATAATGTAAAGAATTTTCGCTACTAGACTATCATCTACATTTTTTTTTACATGTTCGTCAGTTCTTTCTCTGATTCAATGATGTTACTTGTAGGGTGTGGCTGGGCATTCTCGGCAGTGGCAGCCGTAGAAGGGCTTAACTTTCTCAAAACAGGAAACATAGTTTTGCTATCAGAGCAAGAGCTTGTTGACTGTGATGTTGGTCTTGTGAACGATGGTTGCCATTATGGCGAAGTGGGTTATGCCTTCGAATACATGATTGAGCGAAACAGGAGCCTGGCAACATATGCTGATTACGGTTACAAGGGTACAGATGGAGGAAGTTGCAAGGCTGATGATTATAACAACACTGACGCTGCCATAACTGTAAAAGGATTCGAGCTTGTGCCTGAAAACAATGAGACGGCTCTGCTGCAGGCTGTTGCAAACCAGCCAGTTTCTGTTGCCATTGATGAAAATGGAGAATTTTTCCAGAATTATGCGGATGGTGTGTTCAGTGGGCCATGCGGCACAAACTTAACCCATGCTGTGACTGTCGTTGGATATGGTGAAGAAGATGGGAAAAAGTATTGGATGATCAAGAATTCTTGGGGAGAAGATTGGGGGCGTAACGGGTACATGAAGTTGCAGAGAGACGTGCCTGCCAAGGAAGGACTCTGTGGCATCGCTGTGGCAGCTTATTATCCAACATCAGATTAAAGAAGCACCTGCATTATATTCTATATGTTTTGTGTTACTTAGTAGTAAAATGCTATCGCTGTATCAATGCAGAACTATTGTTCGATTCCATGTCGATAATACTACTGGTAGCTTTGCTTTCCACTTTCCAGGGCTCATGCTCTTTGTTATAAACCTCCAAACAACAAATCTAAAACCAAAATCGTCGAAACCCCAAAACCAAATGCCAATTTGCGAAATGTCCAAACACCAAACGTCGAATTTGAAGGGGTTTAGGGTAATTGGATCCTAAATTGTTAATGCATCTCTAATATCCAAGAAAAATAAGCAGTGAGTGAGGAGGGTAAAGTGATAAATTTTATTAATTTTTCTTTCAGATATATGATTGTATACATATGCTAGAATTGAATACAAACTACAAACAAATTGAAAGACGGAGGATTCAAGTCCCAGAGCTCTGTAAAGTGATCTCCATTGCAAGCAAATAATCCAATTATATATATATATATATATATATATATGGAGGAGAAGCCAAACTCATGGCATTTCCTCACGATCTAATGGATGCATCTTCTAATTCTGTTGTCATCCGTGCCCAGAAGAACGAAGAACACCGAGACTCAGAGTGAGAATACCATCACTATGGTTTTGAGTCACAAAGTATCTATTATTGCCTGAGAACTCTGTTTGAGCTGAAGACAAAGTTCTCTTCTCCGGCAATGGTGGAATTCAGGCGTCCAGCTGCCCAACCATTGTTCACCGAACGAACATCACCGCTTCCCTCATTTGGTTGCTCAAACTCCGGAAGACCCTTCGCCTTTCTCTCCTTCCTTCTCTTCCTCTCCTCCTCGCGCTCCTTCCTCAGCCAACTCTCGACTGTCCTCTGCAAACCAAACCCAAATCCAATCTCAGTATATCGAATCAGACAATTACAAATAAAATTTAAACCTTTGACTCACCATTAGTGACAACTTGGAGATCTCCCTAACTTTCTCCATTGGCATTGCTAGCTGCAACTTCCCATTCGCAACATAAGCGATATGCGAAGGCCAATTTTCCAACCCGTCAAATATATGCGTAGCATAAATGATCGTGGCGCCTCGCTCTTCGCATTCCTTCCTCAAGAACTTGAGAAGGTCAGCTCTTGCTAGCACATCGAGGTCCACCGTTATCTCGTCTAGCAGAAGAACCTATTTGGATTCAGAAACAAATCATCAAACACTTGGCGTGCATAAAAAATAATACATCATCAAAACCGTGAAACATGGAGATTGAGTACCTTGTATGGCTTAAGCAGACCCATACAGATTTGCACTCGTCTTCGCTGACCATCGGACACCTTGTGCAATCGCCATGAAAGATCAATATCCAAAACCTTTATCAGCTCTGCTCTCCTTTGTGGGTCGATCCCCGCAACCCCATTGATCAACTTATCGGCCGAAACGTCCATTTGAATCGGGACATCAAACCCGGCGAATGCGACATCTCGCCGCCACTCTCCGCCGAGATACGAGAGGTCGCCGGAGCCGGTCAAGGCGGTGTCGTGAAACGCCGACCTTCCGAGCACGCGAACCATGTGGGGCTCCACCATGTGCTTGCCGCCCAGGATCTTCAAGATCGTGGTTTTACCCGCGCCGTTGGATCCGACGAGGAGGCATCGGTCGCCGGCGTTGAGGGTGAGATTGAAGTCCTCGATCAGCGGCTTGGAGCCCGGCGGCGGGTGGCCGTTGATTCCTGGGTAGGTGAATTTTAGGCCGTTGATCTCGATCGACGGCTCGGAGTTTGGATTCACACCCATCGTCGATGATTTTTAGAGAGAGAGAGATGAGATTAAGAGAGAGAGAGACTGTGTGGTGACATGAACGTGACGGAGTCTTTAAAGCTTTCGGCGATGGACGAGTTTGGAAGTCGACTCAGTGGAGGAGGCGTGGACAGTTCCCAGTCACAAACTCGGAACTTGGTAGTTGGTAGTTTGCCATGTCCTCCAACGAAAAGCAGACACGTTGCTGCTACTCACACAACCAAATAAAGGTTGAGTAAATTATAGTTATAGTCCCTTAACTTTAATTTAATTGGAGCAATTGTCTCTTAACTAAAAATTCATTACCATTAGTCCCTCAACTCATCAAAACGTGCAGCTATAGTCCCTCAACTAAAAATCCATTACCATTGGTCCTTCAACTTTAATTTAACTGGAGAAATGGTCCCTTAACTTTAGCAATGGTCTTTCCAACATAACTCGTTTTGACAAAATTTTTAACGTAGTTGACAAAAAGGACCATAATTACAAACTTTGATGAGTTGAGGGACCTGAATTATATAAATGGTTATTCCAACATAACTTATTTTGACGAAATTGATGAAAATGACTATAGCTACATATTTTGATAAATTGAGAGACCAATGGATTTTAGTTGAGAGACCATTTGCTCCAATTTAATTAAAGTTGAGGAACTATTGCTACAATTTACTCATAAAAGTTCGGCGCCAACTAACTTGGAGGCTCCGGATCCGGACATTGATTCGGGTTGGACCCATTTTTTGGGTGTGTAACTGGATCACAAGAACTGTGGCATTAGACTGTGACATGCTACGAGTTTTAATTTTTCGTGGAACGTTGTGTAACATACTGCGATCTTTTGGTCACAGGCACTCGAAATCTTAGGATGCAGAACTAGAGGAATAATTAGTTAGTAATTTAATAAGACACTAACCATTTAACTAAATGCAGCCCGTAATATTATTTATAATCGAATCATAGACTACCTTTATAAAAATTGAGATTAATCGAAACCCTTTTAATAATTTAACCAATAATGAAAACGTTTTAAGGCAATGACTCTTGCACACACATTTTAACTTCACACATTTTTTTTATTTCTTGTAGATGAAGTTTTTTTAATACAAATTTCTTGTCATTAAATTGAATGAATCAAACTGAAACAATCCACAAAATTAAATACGGTGTATAAGACTATATAACATATTTGAGTTTATTTTCTCTTTGTGAGGATATTGGGGATCCTCCAATCACATTCGTTTATTGTACATTGTGAGGTCAAAAATCATTGTAAATTTTTTTATTTAAAATTGAATATGAACAATAGCAAACAAAAAAATGACTGTACGATATACAATGAATGAATGTGATTGGAGGATCTCCGGAATCCCCGGCGAGGATCCTCTCTCTTTATTTCCCAACATCTTCGTTTTAAGTCCTACACATGGCATCACGGTATTGGTTGGTGATGCCACGCGCACAAGTCTCTCTCCTGTACTGATGAATCTGGACTGAAGGTGTTTTTCTCCCCCTTGTAATCAGTTTGCCTCTTCTTCGTCTTCTTCTTTCTGTATACTTGTTTTGGATTCCGAAATAGCCCTTGGAAATGGCAGCAATTTACAGTCTCTACATCATCAACAAATCAGGCGGCTTGATCTACTACAAGGTAACAAAACCCTAGATATTTCAATTTTCCCATTTATTTTCCTCTGTTTTCTCAGCAACCAAACATAAAGTTAACGAATTTTGTTTGTTTTTTTTGGAACAAATTTAGGATTACGGGTCGGCGGGAAGGATGGACACTAACGATACCTTGAGGGTTGCGAGCTTGTGGCACTCGATGCACGCCATTTCTCAGCAGCTGTCGCCGGTATCGGGCTGTTTCGGAATCGAACTCCTCCAAGCTGACACTTTCGATCTTAATTGCTTCCAATCACTCACTGGTACGTTTCAAATTTTTTACCTTTTTCTCTGTTTTTAGAATTTGTAGTGTAATTTAATGGGTTTCGGTCATTTTGGCAAAATTTGGTGAATTTTGTGGTCAGCGAGCTAGAAAGATTTGTCTTTACAACCAATTTTCAATTGAAGTCTCACTTAAATTTAATTGATTTCGAATTTGCAGATTGTAAGTTTTGTGTAGAATGTAGATGGTAAAGTTAGTAAGGCTTTGAATTGGGTGAGCTTAAGTTGTGTTCGAAGGATAAACAAGTTTGTATCGCGAATAAATTGGCTATCTATCTATTGCTAGTCCGACTTGTGAGTTATGTTGTGCATTGCAGTAGTTTAGGACCACTTTACGTTGTAATCTAGCGGATGATAGTTATTACGGGGGGTGGGGGATAAATTCATAACTGAGGTGAACGCTAAATATCGTCATCGAGCAAGTTGAATGGCAGTGTTCTTATAATCCATTTAGTGTAACATTTAGGCAACTTATATCTTGTGGTTCTGTAATTGTGAAGATGGGTACACAACGAGAGTTTCGCAAGTGAGGCGACTGCTAAATATTGGGATTGAGTGAGTTGATCTGTTAACTGACACAACTAATGGTGGTGCTTTCTTGTAAGCCATTTGGTGTCAACGGCAACATCTATCTTCTGGTTCTGTATTTCAAAGATGGGCTATGGACAAGAGTTTTCCTCTACATGATCATGTGTGATGTTATCAATTTCCACATAATTAGGATCTTCTTTGTTCTGGTTATGGAAGGGGTGAAACCTTTTGTTTTGCTCCTTCTAGTTTCTATATCTAGCAATCCACTATGACTTGCATCATATTATTGTAGTGAATATTGGATTTTGTGAGTTCTGTACTTTCTGCTAGGATACCATTTTACTCGTTTGTTTTTCTTCTTAAGCAAAAAGTATCTCTAATGATACAAGCTTACTGTACATATTACACGTCTTGACAACTGCTATACTTGAATTTTGCAAGGCGAATGAGTTGGTTTAGTATCTAGGATTCGACTCAGGTCCATCTGCCTGGTTTAGAAATTGTTCAGCACGAAGTTACTGTTTGTTTCATTGTTGACAAGTTTTATTGTTTCTGTTTTTAGAGTAATTGAGTCTGTTATTTTAGGCTTGGCTTTTTTTCTTTTTGAATTGGGACTTTCTTATCGAACAGAATGTTGGTCTCAATTTATTTTTTCCTGGGAAGAAAAAATTTTACTGGAAATTTTTACGATGTCTTGGATTGTGAAAGTGATGATATAATTTCACTATTTGCAGGGACAAAATTCTTTGTTGTCTCTGAGCCTGGGACACAGCACATGGAAGGTCTCTTGAAACATATCTATGAGCTGTACACAGATTACGTCTTGAAGAATCCCTTCTACGAGATGGAGATGCCTATACGATGCGAGCTCTTTGATATCAACTTAACACAGGCAGTACAGAAGGATCGTGTTGCATTGTTGGCCCGATAATTTGCCTTTGAATTTGTTCCTGTGTGGCTGTTGGCCCGATGATGTGCCTGAGAACTTGTATGGTATCTGTAGTTTGCAATCAATGTGTTTTGTACGGTTTGAGCTCACCTCGACTTTGGTGTGCGTAATCAATCAGATATAAGCATCGACTAACTCAACATTCAGGTGGGCTGTACAAGAAAAATAATGTATAAATGCTGCATTTGTTAGAGAGGATTAGCTTGGATAAGATATTTGCCATAAAAGGCGGACGGATTTAAAAAGTTATTCAAGTTTATACTACTTAAGAGATGACATTCTACAGAAAATTCTTAGCTAGCTTAGCGTGAAATCTAAAATCCTCTCTTTCAGGCGAAAGTTTGAACTTGAAGTAATGCTTGCAGCATACAAGCTCTTCCATCTCCGCCTTAGTAGGCCCTTCCCCGAAAACTCCATTGCCGAGTTCCTCCAGTTTCTTGCTGGACACTTAAAAGTCGACAGAAGCGTTCTCCTTTTCCTTGAGTTCCTCCAGTAAGTAACTACGATAAAAAAAATTCTACACTGCTTTCTTGAGTTTTTCACTTTTTGATTTTTAGTTTCCAATTTTTTTTTAAATGAAAACCAAACACTTTGCTTAATTTCTTGAGAAAATCATTTTATCATATCATTTGACTCATTGAGGGTAAAAGAAAGGGAGAAATCTTGTAAGGACTTGGAAGATAATGGGCCACTCTTCATATTGCAATTCGTTTATGGTGGAACACCAACGTTTTTCATAGTATTAGAGCTGGTTGGTTTTATGAAACCCAACAACCACACGTGCTCCAAGTCACCCAATTCGTGTTGTTCACGTGTTTAGCTTGAAAATTTGCCGCACGGAAGGAAGCATGTGAGAATGTAAAAGTAAATCTTGCAAAAGCTTAAAAAATGTTTAATTACTCCTCATATTGCTAATTGTTTTTATAATGAAACTCAACTTTTTTTTCATCATATTTAACATCATTCAATCACATCATAGGTGAGAATAATACAAATCTCATATCCCTTTATTATAATCTATTTTCTTGCTATCTTTGCGTCAATCACATGCATAACTACGGCCAAACAATTTAAATAAGAAAAAAAAACCCGAAATAAGAAAAAAACAAGAAACCAAAATTACTATATTCTTCTTTCTATAACCAAGCGCTAGCTAGGGTTTCGGGTTTAGAAGCATTATCATGGAGGCCTCTAGCTATGCTTGAATTAGTTCATGCACAGAAACCAAAGCCATAGCAATCAAAATCCTCATCTGCCTATTTCTATCATTCAACGGATTCTGAGTATTAGGCGGTGTGCTAAGCGAATCTTCGCAGCTGGCTTCTGCTCTCGGCGTCACCCTCTCAGCCTTCTCCACACTGTCGTAATCCTTCTGGAAAAACGACACTGCAGCCGAATCGAACGATTCCATCACTACAAGGTAACCATGCTCACATGCAGTGAGGGCGTTTTTGAAAGCTATGTCGGTTGTGTTGTCAAGCAGTTGCCTGATAAAGTCGTGCGTTTTGGTGGCATTGTCTGTGGCACGCTCTATGGTTATTTGGGTGAGGGCGACGATATCGGAGTTTGGAGATTTCAAGTTCTCCTTGAAGGTTTGGCTGCAAAATCCGTACTCCTCCATCTGCCTGCAAATATGTTCGATCAGTTGCTGGGTGTCTTGGCTCGAGGATGGAGTGATATTGATCACGAGGAAGAAGAGAACCAGTAGCATCGGAACACGTGGGCATGAGTGAAACTTATTAGCAGAAGCCATTTTTTTTCTTGGTTCAAGACTTAAACAAGGTTGAATATTGAAGTGAGATTAGAATCGAAGGAGAGGAGTGGGTATTTATAGGACAGGTGTTTTATTCAATATCATTCATTTATAGTAGTATATCATACCTAAATCCGATTGGATTGGATTCTCAATTTCTCAGTAAAATATATTGCCTATTTTGCATATATGAATTAAGAACTTGCTATATATATACCAGTTTTTTCTCGATACTGATTATAATATGCTTGTTTGTGCCTTATGTGCCGTTTGGTATTTTTATTTTAATACTAAAAGCGGCTTTACCTTAAAATTAAGTAGTAAAAAAGTGTTTGATAAAAGTAAAATATCATGCTTATTTTTATGAGATCAAGTACGATATTCATTTCATAAAAAGAACAGCGTACAAACAATGGGAAAGGATACTAACAATGGGCCTCAATAAAAACATTCCTGGATGAAACCCCGTATGAAGGAAAAAAGAGTATGCCGCACCAACTAAAACAAGAATTAAACTAACTCAAGAATTAAAATTACCCTCCAAAATAAGATCCGAAATAATATCGGGAGGTTTCTCAAACCAAGAAACTGTCTGTGGCAAGGAGAGACCTCGTCGAGCTAACCTGTGAGCCACTGCATTGGCTTCACGTCGCACAAAGTTGGTCTTCCACCGCTGAATAGATTGTAACAGTCTTCGTATATCAGTTAATATATGACCAAGAGGTCCATTATTTACCTCCAAGTTATTCTGAACAGCTGCTATCACCAGCAAAGAGTCTCCCTCCAACATCACATTCTGATCAGTCCATGTTTGAAGAAACAGAGCAGCCTCACGAGCCTGGGACAGAGCACATGGAAGGTCTCTTGAAAATTTTCTATGAGCTGTACACGGATTACGTATTGAAGAATCCCTTCTACGAGATGGAGATGCCTATGTGATGCGAGCTCTTTGATATCAACTTAACACAGGCAGTACAGAAGGATCGTGTTGTGGGGTATTGTAGGAGTTTGGAGACCCCTCTTGTCCCACATCGGGCAACAGTGGTTTTTCACTAACCTTTATATAAGCTTATTCCTTCTTCTTAATAATTAGAATTTGGACTATTTGGAATGAGGATTGAGGTTTGGGCCACTAATTGTGTAGATTAGGCTTTGATGATTATATTATAATATTAATATTAATTAATCAAGACAAGGGCCCCTTGGGGCCAAGGAATTAAAATTAATTTGATCAATTAGTTTGATTAATAGACACAAAGCAATTATCTTTTCTTCCTCTACCTTCAGTTCATTCAAGTTAATATCTTTTTAATTTTTTGTAATTGCATTCTGTATTGCAACTATTTTTGAATAATAAAGTATAAGTATTTCTGTTATGTATTTATGTTAATTTATTGTTTCTAAATTGTTCTCCAACATTGTTGGCCCGATAATTTGCCTTTGAATTTGTTCTTGTGTGGCTGGTGGCCCGATGATCTGCCTGAGAACTTGTATGGTATCTGTAGTTTGCAATCGATGTGTTTTGTATGGTTTGAGCTCACCTCGACTTTGGTGTGCGTAATCAATCAGATATAAGCATCGACTAACTCAACCTTCATTCCCAAATGTCCACGTATTCATTTCCAGTTAAGAATACAACGGCAGTTATGTGTTTCTGCGTTCTGGTTACATTGGGATTTTGATGATGCATTCAGGTTGGCTGTACAAGAAAAATGATGCATAAATGCTGCATTTGTTATAGAGGAATAGGTTGGATAAGATATTCGCCATAAAAGGCGGACGGATTTAAAAAGTTAACCAAGTTTATAATACTTATGAGATGACATTCTAGAGAAAATTCTTAGCTAGGTCAGAGTGAAATCTAAAATCTTCTCTTTGAGACGAAAGTTTGAACTCGAAGTAATGCTTGCAGCATACAAGCTCTTCCATCTCCGCCTCAGTAGGCCCTTCCCCGAAAACTCCATTGCCGAGTTCCTCCAGTTTCTTGCTGGACGCTTAAAAGTCGACAGAAGCGTTCTCCTTTTCCTTGAGTTCCTCCAGTAAGTAACTACGATAAAAAAAATTGTAAACTGCTTTCTTGAGTTTTTCACTTTTTGATTTTCAGTTTTCAATTTTTTTAAATGAAAACCAAACACTTTGCTTAATTTCTTGAGAAAATCATTTTATCATATCTTTTGACTCATTGAGGATAAAAGAAAGGGATAAATCTTGTAAGGACTTGGAAGATAATGGGCCACTCTTCATATTGCAATTGGTTTATGGTGGAACACCAACGTTTTTCATGGTATCAGAGCAGGTTGGTCTTGTAAAATCCAACAACCACACGTGCTCCGAGTCCCTCAATTTGTATTGTTCACGTGTTTAGCTTGGACATTTGCCGCATGTGAGGATGTGAAGATAAATCTTGCAAGAGCTTAAAAAAGGTTTAATTACTCCTCATATTGCCAATTGTTTTTATAATGAAACTCAACTTTCATCATCTTTAACATCATTCAATCATATCATAGGTGAGAATAATACAAGTCTCATATCCCTTTATTATAATCTATTTTCTTGCTATCTTTGCGTCAATCACATGCATAACGACGCCCAAACAATTTAAATAAGAAAAAAAAAAACCGAAATAAGAAAAAACAAGAAACCAAAATCACTATATTCTTCTTTCTATAACCAAGCGCTAGCTAGGGTTTCGGGTTTAGAAGCATTATCATAGAGGCCTCTAGCTATGCTTGAATTAGTTCATGCACAGAAACCAAAGCCATAGCAATCAAAATCCTCATCTGCCTATTTCTATCATTCAACGGATTCTGAGTATTAGGCGGTGTGCTAAGCGAATCTTCGCAGCTGGCTTCTGCTCTCGGCGTCACCCTCTCAGCCTTCTCCACACTGTCGTAATCCTTCTGGAAAAACGACACTGCAGCCGAATCGAACGATTCCATCACTACAAGATAACCATGCTCACATGCAGTGAGGGCGTTTTTGAAAGCTATGTCGGTTGTGTTGTCAAGCAGTTGCCTGATAAAGTCGTGCGTTTTGGTGGCATTGTCTGTGGCACGCTCTATGGTTATTTGGGTGAGGGCGACGATATCCGAATTTGGAGATTTCAAGTTCTCTTTGAAGGTTTGGCTGCAAAATCCGTACTCCTCCATCTGCCTGCAAATATGATCGATCAGTTGCTGGGTGTCTTGGCTCGAGGATGGAGTGATATTGATCACGAGGAAGAAGAGAACCAGTAGCGTCGGAACTCGTGGGCATGAGTGAAACTTAGTAGCAGAAGCCATTTTTTTTCTTGGTTTAAGACTTCAACAAGGTTGAATATTGAAGTGAGATTAGAATCGAAGGAGAGGAGTGTGTATTTATAGGACTGGTGTTTTAGGGTTTAGGTTTATCAATCAGTTGAGTCAAAACCCTAATTTTCCGTTTTCAGCATATTTATTGTTTTATTCAATATCATTCATTTATAGTAGTATATCATACCTAAATCCGATTGGATTGGATTCTCAATTTCTCAGTAAAATATGTTGCCTATTTTGCATATATGAATTAAGGACTTGCTATATATAGACCCGATTTTTCTCGATACTGATTATAAAATGCTTGTTTGTGCTTTATGCCCCCGTTTGGTTTTTTTGTTTTTTTTTTTTTCTACTAAAAACCGCTTTATCTTAAAATTAAGTAGTAAAAAAATTGTTTGGTAAAAGTAAAATATCATGCTTATTTTAAAAGCAATAACCTCCGGATAAGCTGTTTTTAAAAGCTACTTTAATAAAAAGCTGAGTTGAGTATTTAATAAATATTTTCAATTGTTGTATTCCCTTCATTAAGTTTTTGAAACTGACATATCTACCCTTCCACTCACATTTTATCTCTTAGAGAATAAACTAATCACAACACTTTTCAAAAAACACTTGACCAAAAGTTCATCTGCTTTACTTTACAATAATTATTCTTAAAGCACATTAAGACCAATTTTTTTTTAGAAAAACACAGCAATCCCGAACTGGCCCTTAGTTTGAGTGTGTGTTTGAATGTTCTTTCAATATGATTGAATTTTTTTGTTTTTTGTTTTATGATAGTACTTTTGGAACCAATCCTTAGTAAAAATATAAGTAAATTCTTAAAAAGCACTTGAAGTATTTCCTGCAAGAAGCACATAACTAGTGAAGGAAGTTAACTTCAAGTGATTTTGAAACCCAAAAACAATTTTTTTTTGTTTGTTGATGCATAAAATCGGCGAGGACTTTGGCACAACAGAAAGTGTCAAATTTGTGACCTTCGCTAGGTTGCTCTGGTCATTAGTGTGGATAAGTATATAAAGGAATAGAGACAGGAAAGCAAACAATATAAGATGTACGTGGTTCACCCAGATTGGCTACGTCCACGGAGTAGAGGAGTTTTCATTAGTTGTGAAGAGTTTACACAAATACATAGGTTCAAGCTCTCTTTTAGTGAGTTCTAGTGAATAGTTTAGTATAAATGACATTAGGGATTATTGTGGGAGAATGATCCCCTTTTATAGAAGAGAGTTTCTAGCTTGGTTCTGACATTGACACGTGTCGTGTTGTGATTGGCCTCTGATATCGACACGTGTTGCGCTGTGATTGGCCTCTGATACCGACATGTGTCGTGTTGTGATTGGCCTCCTGGTTGGAGGAAAAGTCTTGTGGGTCTTTGACGGTATGCTATTGACCGGTGCTTAGTAGTTTCGGGATTGGTCAAGTATGGTACAAACATTGTTTATCTGCCCTCGGGTGTCCCCTTCTTAGAAGACGAATTAAAAAACACTTTCACCAAAAACGCTTTTGATGATTCTAAAAGCAATTTAAGACGAGCCCTAAGTCTCCCATCCCTTAATGTTGACCCAACCTTACAACCCAAAGGTCATCTCTCATTTGAGTATTAGATGTGACTAATTTGAATATATAAAATAAAACTTCGTAAAACATGATGTAGTGGCCACTCAAAGGAAATGAATGAGAATATCCCGAAAACAATTATACAACAGAAACTGTAACGCAATATCTAAATCAATTTTAGAACAAAAACTGCAACACAATGAAATATCCCGAAAACACTTTTTCTTTTTGTTGAT